GCCCCGAGGGTGTCCTGCGCTATGTTGCGGTAAATTGAGCGTGGCCGGATATTGTCGTCGCTCGCCCACCCACACACACACACATACATCACTAGTTGGTTGCGAGATGCGGGCCACGTTGGCCTCTAAAAAACGCACCACTTAGGTCATTTCCACTTCCTGCTTCGGCGGCGTTCAGTAACTAAATCATTTGTAAAGGCCACAGTAAATTGACTACAAATGTGTGGCCTCAAGGATGCAGCGTTGCATACTTTCAGGCGGTCCACTCCGCCATTTCCGGTCTAGCTTAGTGCACTCTAATGCAGGTCATTTCAGTTGATCTTATTTGGTGAGCATGCACTTTAATTTCCACATTCTAGCTGGCTTGAGCTTGACTTTTGGCAATACTCGTATGTGCCCCAACTGAACACAAGTCGTCTTCAGTGCTCACGAACTTTTCGCATAAATTTAATACACGAAACGTGTCAGCATCTGCACAGAGAGAAATGGGATATTGACTAGCTTAGTAATACTTGTTACCTTTCAAAGTAACAAACAAGCTATTAGCCTAGTTTTTTCAGTGCATCTGTGGGATGTGCAGAACCCTTAAACCGCGATACCCAGCAGCTTGGGCCACGTCGAGAACAAGTCGGGTATTGTGCTGCTGTCCGCCCGCTCAAAATATCAAAATCAACGCCATTGTCATATTTGCTGAATGAGTGAACACTCAACCTCAATTTCAGCCTTCATCTCCATCGTTGTCAGCCTTTTTTGCAGCCGTTTTCCCCGGCTTTTCCATGACCGCCCCACCGTTTTTCCAAAGGCAATGACAATTTCGCGTGTGTTTGTCACATCAGTTATGCATGTGTGTTTGAGTTTTCATATATTTATGACACTCCACTCTGTCACTGTCTGTGGACGCGAAATTCAAATGCGAGTGCGGGTGTGTGCGTGCTTTTTATTTAAACGCAATCAAATTAAGGGGCCCAGCCAATTGGCAAGGCCATCAGCAGTGCGTAATCAAGTTTTCCAAAATCTCCCTCCCAAAGGTTAAAATCGAATGCGAATTTCGAATTACAAGAGAGAACTATGCCTAAAAAACCCAAATAAAACCAATTTGCCCCGCAACTCGTTACAAAAACAGCATTTCCCGAGTAAATTTACTGTGTGTGGGCGGCGGTGGGAGGATGGGCTGTGCCGGGCTGTGCTGATTCGGTTGATAAAGTCAACGAAAAGTTTGTTGAAAGCCTCGCCCCTATCCGATGTGACCCAATTTGCTTGCTGCCTGAAGACACGGCGATAAGACTTTGAAATCAACCGCTTACATGCAAAGCACTACGAATTCGATTTGCGGCAGCCCATTTATAATATGCTTGTATGGAATGCATGTATGTGGCATGCAAATTACAGAAATTGCCATGACGAACTCTGGCGGCTTTAATGGCGTGCAAACCAGGAAGAAAAGCAAATTCTGACCGAGCCCCCAAGCAGAAGCATCATTTTCGTTGCCTGCTTTTCGGGGCGTTGAAATGTAAGCGGCGACGTGAGTGCAATTCGCGTTTGCCGGGTATTAAGACCTATTAGGGAACGAACCTTTCATGTTCCTGTTATTAGCCACAAGGCGAATAGATGCCAGATGCCTCTAATGCTTGGCACACATTTTTCTGGGCCATAATGGGACGGGTGGCCTCCGCTTCGACTGCCATTTCCATTCCCACTCCCACATCGATATACGCAAATTGTGCTATTTTCGGTCGCCAGTGCGGAGTCAATAATTTATGCTCCGCACCATTTTTCTGGGGCACGGGGCATGGGGCATGTGGGATTATGTTGGCCTTCCATTGACCCAATTCTGGTAACAGTGCTGCACCAACCATGCGCACTCTCTTCGAGCCGCTCTCTGGCGCTCTTTACTTTCTCTTTTGCTGTTACTAGTTGGCCGCTCTTTTTGGCCTAGTTTTTGGGGCAGTTAACAGTGGCAAGAGAGTGACGTCTCATGTTGCACGGGCAGGGACAGGTCCGCAGACAGCGAGTGAGAGCAAGTGAGAGCGTGGAAAACCCAGGGGCATGGCCACCCACCTCCCTTTGGCCGGAAAAGGAAAACTCAGGGTTTGGGCTGCATATATACACCACTATATACTGGTGACCCAATTTCGCGCGCTGTCCTTCCACAGCTGTTCTGATTTCGGTTTCGATTTCGGTTCGCATTTCCGCTTTGTGTATTTTCGGCCCGACTCTCTGGGGTTTGGGGTTGTTTATGCTTGCCGCCAACGGGAATGGGAATGGGGAAATGGGAAATGGGAAAACTCCAAGATGAACGGATAGAGACAGAGAGAGAGAGAGAGAGAGAGACAGGAAAAACTTTTATTTACCCCACGCACGTAGAATGCGTGGGTGGGTGGGACTTTGAGTTTTTCCGAAGATGTGTGTGCTGTCAAGTAAATTCCCATCGAATGCGAAGAAATAGGAAATTGCATGGCAACGCAGGACTTCCACTGATAACGTAGAATGAATCGATGGCAGACGGGGGAATTATTAAGTCGGCAAATTAATAAGGATGTGCTGCCAAAGCCGATCAACTTCCATTCGGAATCAGGAAATATCTGTTGTCTTCGTTCCGGTTATTGCCTTCGGTAAATACGCGCAGGGATTAGCATGAAGTACGCCCCCGAGTAAATACACGCACTTACCATGGAGTATATATCATGGAGTGTACATATGTATACAATATGACAGCTGGGAGCAGCCTGGAACTGGCGCCAGACGGGGAAATTCCTTGCCATTTTCCCTCAAAGAAGATTCATGTTGGGCCGCCCACTCAAGTCGGCTATTTACGTTTTCCCGGACCCGGCTTTGTTTGTGCCCGCTGTTTGGCAGCCAAATCAGGACACAGTGCGGTAGTCATTTCTGGATGTAATACGCACTCCTGGATGGAACAGGGTGGAATTTTATTTCCTCGCTCCGCAGTTAGCCAGCTGGAGTTCTTTGCCGGCGAATGGTTTTCTTTCATTAGCAAGCAAGCGTTTACCCCCGGCGACGGGAGTCCTTCTCATTAGAGGAGGATAATTAACACGCACCACTACACGTTGAGCGCAGGGGGGACATAACTCAAGCTGCTCTAATTTACTTTTGGATTCGAGCGACTTGGCAGGTGGCAATAAATGGCAGGGGAGCGTTTTGGGATGCCGTGAATTGATAGCCCAAAAGGATTTCCAACTGCTTTCCGCATTAATTGAATATAATTGCGAGGCAAACGGCGGCAGCTGGCAATTGAAAATTACGCATACGCAGCGTTTGACAAACGAGCTGTGCCGCGCTTATCTGCCAGCGAACAAAATCGAGGCATTAATAAACCCCTTTTCAAACATTCAGCACATTAAGATGCTAGTCACGCAGGCGGCCACCAACTCCGAAGAACTCTGAAAACAGCGAAAGTGGCAGGAAAACACTTCCCTGTTGCCAAACACACTCACACACACACACACACACCAACCACTGGCAACAACCGCGTGTGTGTGCTTGCAGGCCCTTATTTATGAGCCAGGATATAAGGCATATCCTGATGTATCCTGACCCCAGAGGTCTGGCTGCAAACGAATTACGACCGCCGACTAATTGCAGCAAGTTAAAACGAAAATGGTCTAGCTTCCGCATCCAAGTCAAGCAGTTGGAAACACCGGAAATAAATGGCATTAAAGGTTATTACCTTTTCACTTTAGAAAATCATCAAAAACCGATTTATTAGTGGGTATTTAGCAAACAGGACCTAGTATTTCTTGCTGTGTACGCATTTGTGTAACTGCCTGCCAGCCACGTGCGTTAACAATTTACGCCGCTTAAGTACCGCAGGATATTTATGTTTATGATTGCGTTGCGGTTCGCAGACTCCGCCCCGAAAAAGGCATTCAGCTTTTCCTGCTCTCGGCTCAAATTACGCATACGCCGTGTGCGCGCCCTCCGCAAATTCAGCTTAAGTGGGCCAAAATGGCGGCGCACCAAGTCCATGCAATCCATAACAATTGAAGCTCGCTGGCATTCCCAAACCACAAAGTTGTAAACAAATCGTTAATCACTTGGCCCACAAGGCCGAAACGAGCAGCCGAAAACTCAGTTTTCAATTTGTTCAGCAGTCGTCGTCGCACAAGGACAACATTTGCCAGCACAAGGACGCAATCAGTGGTTTGCTGTGCCCCCAAAAAGCGTGCTCTATTGCATATGTGGATATGCAGGGGTACATGTGGTATGTACAGTGCGCCAGCATACTGAAACTGGGTCAATTGCCGGCGTCGCTGCTGCAGCGCTGTCCTAACCTTCAGCATAAAAACGCAGCATAAATGCAGGCGCATAAAAAGCCGAGAGCTGGGCGGCAAAAGCGTGTCAAGGCGAGCGCCAAACGGGGCAAAGCGACCGCAAGGTGACCCAGTAAATAGGGGGTGCTCGGCTGGGGGAGTTGGCAAGGACGCGGACCGGACCCGGACCCGGACCCGGACCCGGGCCTGTTATCAGTGCAGGCGGCATCGAGCAAGCCAGTCAGGCAGCCAGGCAGCCAGCTCGTTCGGGCGGCATCGTTTGCCGCTCGGGCGAGAGTCCAAGGACTGCGAATCTGGCTTTCAGCCAACCAGCCAACCAGCCAGCCAGCCAGTTGCATTGTCCGCACTCACACAGTCGCACTTGGCACCGGGCCGGCACCGGTTCGAATCGCTCCTGTTCCTGCTACTGCTACTGCTCCACAGCTCCGCGTGCAACCGCTAAACAGCCGCCAGTTAAAGAGCTGCTGCAGAACCGCCATCATGCACACCATGGCAATGAATTACTACGTGGAGCGCAGTGACTACGAGGGCTACGGTCGCCACAGTCCCACGGGGGACAGCTGCTCGCGCTCCTCCTCATCGTCTTCCGAGAACTCGCTAATGCAGCCGTATTCCCGCCAAGTACGATGGATATTACATTGAACTATTATTAGTACACAAGAGCGCAGTAATATAACCAATCTAACCACATCACCTCTCTTCTCATTGCAGTCCAAAAAGTTCCGATGCGTTTACCGAGGATGCGTTGGCCTGGTGGCCGATCACAATACAGTCATGCGTCACATTAGGAAAAAACATTTGGGGTAAGTGTACAAGTGGGAATTGCGCTGCTATCAGTGGATTAGGTGCGAGCAGCAAGTGGGCGGGGCCTTGACTTACCCACCCGACCTTCTCCTTCTCCATCTCCGCCAGCATTTGCACTCGCCCGGAGCGGGCGCTGGAGGTGGTGGCTCGAAAGTAGAGCACTCGAGCACAGTAAGCAGGTCACACGAGTGTGGCGGAGCCCCTCGCCAGCACACAGATTACTTTGTTATGCGCACCTGCAGCAGGCCAGCAGTGGCAACAGTGGCAGCAGTGGGTGGCGGCAGGTGCAGCGGCGCGCTTTTGAGGCCAAGGTCCAATTCGAGGCGCCCACACACGATCCGCGCTGAGCTTTGACACTTGCCAATCTCGTTTCCTATGTAAATCGAGAGGGGTTCCAAGTGGGGGTGCACAAATAAAAGACGCGGTGGCTTTGTTTTTTGCTGCTTTTGCTTTGACATTGTTCTCTCATCTGCATACATGCGGTATATCTATTCGTATATATATAATTGTATATGTTTTGCTTTATATTTATTTTTGCAGTATATTGTGTATTGTGTGTTGTGTGTTATGTTGTGTCGTGTGTTGTTGGAGTGTTTTTGTGTTTTTACTTGCTGCCCTATAAAGTACAGTCCGCATACAGGATGCGAGTGCGAGAATGTCGGGAGTGAGTTTAGGTTGGCGTACCCTACGCGTATATCTAGGTGTATATGCTTATATAGCGCTCGGCTTGCTGGCAGCGATATAGTAGGATCTATGACAGGATCTGGGCTTGGGTGCGTAACTTAGGATCGAACGAGTGGTGCCTCCAGAACCGAATTAATCGTAATCGTAGGGGGGTATATGTATAATCTCTCGGCGCAGGTCGGCCTTTAGTAATGGTATCGTAGCTTAGCACTAAATCCTATGAGCAATTTCTTACAATTTGAAACGAACTAAACATAAACACGGCCGACAAGTACAAAATTGAAACTAGCTGGAGGTACACACAATATATAGTATAATAATAACACACATAATAGATACAGTACAATCTGAATTTGTTGGTTTGTTCAAAGCTTTCGGCAAAATCTGCAATTGGCAATCGGCACATTAACTAATAAACTTCCTGAAGCGCAGTCCCGGGCGGGTTAAATATCGGTATTACAATTCACATACGTTAAAAACTCTAATTACTATGGGCTAAAATTAGCTTAGGCTTATTAATATGCTGCGTGTTCTAAACAACTACATTAGTCTGCCTTGATTTGTTGATTGTTTGTATGTTGTTTACTTGCTGGGATGCTGGATTCCTTCGATCCGTCCGATCGATTAAAAGTGTAAGAGAAGGGAGGAAAAGATATATAATGATAGGGACAAAGGTTTTAAAAAAATGTATACAGAACATAACACAACTAAGTTTCGAAAATAGTTAAAAATAATTTACACTTTTCAATAAATAACCTAATCATAAACTGTAACAAAACAAAAATTGGCAAATGTAGAATCAATCGTAGAAAGTGAGCGGACTAAGAGCAAAGGGAATTCCCAGAAAGATGTATTGTTATTCGATCCACTGCCGCCCTAGTGCGGATGCATAAGTCCATGGGTGATGTCCATGCCATCACCTATTCCGTTCACGCTGAGCCCGCCATTGAGCATGCTTGAAGCTAAAGAAATCCTTACATAAGTAATGAGGTTACTATATTAGTGATTTGCTCTCACAATTGCGTGATCCTTGCGTGTCCACTTGTGTCCAGTACTGTTCAGATGGACTCTGGGTACTAGTCCCCGGCGGTGCCTGGACCGGCGCCCCCGTGTACCGAAAATACGGATTCTTCAGGTCCAGGGTGTTGCTCGACGAAATAAGCGTGCCTTCGATGTGCAGGTCGATGGTCACGTCGTACGACTGCCGCCGATTGGCCTCCAGCAAGACCCGGCCTGTCAGCGTCTGACCCTGCTTGATGAAGATGGGCATGGGCAGTAGGCAGCGCACCTGATACCAATGTGTCAGCGGCGCCGTGGGCGACGTGGAGAGCCACACATTCTGGCTGCTGCCGCTAAACTCCACATCAAACCAAAAGGCCAGCCCATGGCAGATGCCAGTTTGCAGAATGTGGAACTCCAGGGGGATGCCTGCGGAAGGTCAGCAGTTAGCCATTGTCGGAAGTCACAAGTTCGGGTACTTACTAATCAAATGCAGGTCGTCCTCCTTGTCGTTGAGAAAGTCGCACACGTGCCGCACCGACTTGGCCATGCATATGCGGATGTCGAAGGTGTCCACGATTGGCTGTCGGAAGTACTCCTTCATGCCCTCTTTGTGCAGCGTGGTAAGGTCAACGCCGTGGAACGCCGACTGGTACCAGAAGTTGGCCTTGTTGTATTGCTCCGAGTAGAGCGATTCGTCCGAAAAGGGCGCGATGTGCAAGTCGCCGTGCGTGGGGTACATCTTTCCTTGGGGCTTCAGCCACTTTCTGGCGTGCAGATAGGTCTCCAACATGCGCTCGTTGTACAGCATATAGCCCATCGGCTCTGATATGATAACGTCCACTTTTTCGGGCAGCTCGATCTCCTCGATCTTTCCCGGTATCACAGAGATCTTGTGCTGCACATTGTTGGACTCAACCAGCTGCTGGGCGTACTGGGCCATGTTGGACGCCTCAATGGCGTACACCTTGGCAGCTCCCGCCTGCACGGCAAAGAAGGAGAGAATTCCCGAGCCAGCGCCCACATCCAGGACGATCTTGTCCTGAAAATCCACCGCATTGCCCAAAATGGCCCGCTGGTACGTGCTCGTCCTTACATAATCCTGCATCATGTTCTGCTGCTGGCTGAGGTAGCCATAGAACTGGAAGTACTGCGAGGCGGACGACTCCTCAGTGCGCTGCGAGAACACGGACTTGGGTCTCAAGTGCTTCACGTTCTCCACCACCTTGCGGAAGAGCTGCTGGTCCTGGTCGCTGGCGAACCTCAGCACGAGATTGTCGGCATCCAGGGAAACGGCATAGCTACGTCGACCCATTTGGGCGGCATCCGTATCGGCGGCAATCATGTACTCCTTGAGCACGTGGCTCCGATCATCATCTGATGATCGAGAGATTTGCGATGTTAGGGGCGGGTTTTAATAATGGAAGATTCTGTGCTCTTCCTTACCTGACACAACTCGGAGCACCACTCCCTGGGAATCGTAGCTGCAGAGCAGCGTACAGCTGCCCTTGTATTTGTTGGTGAACTCCAGCTTCTGCTCGTCGGCAATCGAGCTGATTACCACGCCGCTAAATTGGCAATTGCTCAGCGGAGAAACGGAGGCGGCGGTGGCCAGTTTTCGGGCCTCCTCGGGTCGCAGGCTGGACATGTTGGCTGGCTTTTTGGAGGGCAAGAGGCGAAGGAGCAGATCAGGAGCACTGGCGTCTTTTTTCCCTTGCTAATTGACAAAGTAGGCCTCGCTATACACACGCACACACATACACACGAGCACACGCACACACACAGAGACGCAGATCCAGACAGACAGACGCGCAATTTTTTCTATCTGCAAAATTTTCCACCACACAAAAAATGGCTGGTGACTCGGGCAGCTGGATTAATTGGCGCTGTGAACAGTATTGCGCGCTGCTTTTCAACTCGGACGATTGCTCAAAATCGATTGCTCTTGTTGATTTCGTATTGATTTCACACGGAACGTGCGTTTTTTTTGCAAAAAGTGCTAGAGCTGGAACAAATAGTTGAGGCTAGAGGTGGGACCAAGTCCGATGCTCTTCGATAGTATTAGTGCTGCCCAGTACCGCAAGACTAATCGATTGTTGAAATAAGCGTGATGTACAACCTCATATTATCTGTGAAAGTAATTATCTCGTTTTCACTTTGAAATATAATTGCAGTAAAACATTTTGGGGAAAAAATAAAATATTTTTGGTGGACAGAATCTGGGTTCAGAACTCTGGTGCAGTTTTAGCAGGGTCTCAAACCTAAACTGATGAATCCTCGGCTTAGTTGGCAACGCGAGTACAAAAAACGGTCCCTTGAATGGAAATTAGGTACCTAAATTGGGTGCCTAATTAAATATTGCCGAAGTTCAACTGAAATTCGTAGCATTCATTTTGCAATTTGAATAATTTTTTTTTAATTGAATGAAGTAAAATAAAAGAACAGAAAATAAAGTACCAATCTGATTTGTACTAATACCGAACCTTCACAAGGTACATAACTGCAGTAATCTTGCCATCACTGACACATCCTTCTAATCAATTTCGCAACTTTTCGCTGGCATTGCAGAAAGGACGGCCATCGCTCCGCGGACGATGACTGGGGAAACGAGGAGGAGTTCTACTACGAGGATGCCGACGACGACGAAGAGCAGGTGAAGCCCAGTCTGGCCTCCGAGCCGACGTTGAGTCACCGGGACATGGCGCGTCCGCCGCACGAGGATCCCGAGTACCAGAAGCAGATTGTGGGCAACTTCAAGTGGGTGCTCTAGTGCACGGCACATGTAGATTATTTGTTAACACTATCTTGTTTCGATATTGCAGGCAAGGACGCGCCGGTAGCCACTATAACCACCTGGCGCAGTCGCATGGACGCACCACCATCAGTGGCAGCAACATCCCGAGCACCCACCAGCAGCAGCTGCAGAACAACAACACCAGCTGCATCCCCACATCGCACCTGGCCCACCACAACTACACATGCCCGGCGGCGACGGCGACAGTGGGCAGCTACTCCTCCTCCACGGGGACGGGGACGGGGCCGGTGGTGGCCAGCGCATCAGCCTCGCCGCTCGGCAAGCACGCGCGCTCGTCGTCCTCCCGTCCGAACCACTCGGTAGCGCCATATCCATCGCCGACGTACGTCCAGCAGCAGCAGCACCACCAACACACGCACCACCACAACTACGCCGGCAGCAGCGGCAGCAGCAACAGCAGCAGCAGCAGCAGCAGTCCAGTGATCCACAGCAACAACAGTGCCAACAATATGCTGCAGCAGCTGTCGCAGCAAAATGTCACAGTGACGGCGCATCACAGCCAGCAGCAGCAACTGCAGCAGCAGCAGCAGCAACACCACCAGCAGCAGCAACACAGCCACCAACAGCAGCAGCAACATCTCCTGTCCAGTGTGACGATCACGCCCAATTTCCATCCGGCGCAGCAGCAGCACCATCAGCACCAGCCGATGCGCGGCCACCAGCAGCAACATCCACATCCACAGACAACTGCCGGCAACCTGGTTGCCCAAAACAACAGCAACAACCACAGCAACGGAAGCAACGGCAGCAATCCGCTGCAGCAGCAACAGCACATGGCGCAACAGGTGGCCGTCAAGCATACGCCCCATTCGCCTGGCAAGAGGACGCGCGGCGAGAACAAAAAGTGCCGCAAGGTGTACGGCATGGAGAAGCGCGACCAGTGGTGCACCCAGTGCCGGTGGAAGAAGGCGTGCAGCCGCTTCGGCGACTGAAAGCGACAGAAGTCGTCGACGGAGGCGGCAAACCAGGCGTCGGCGCACCAGTCCAAGGCAGCAACAGCAACAGCAGCAGCATCAGCATCAGCAACACCCAACCCAGCAGCAATATCAGCAACTCCCAGTCCGGCAGCAACATCGTCCTCGAAAATGACCACCACAGTGGTGCGATTGGCGGCCGAGGTGGCTGCCGGCAAGCAGCTACCCTCGTCGCTGACCATCAAAACCAACAAGCGTTACGGTGGACAGGTGCAGCAGCAGCAGCAGCAACAACCGCATCCCTATGCGGTGACCGCCAACAGCAACACAATCAGCAATCGGCCGGTGCGTATACGCAGTGTGGCCACCTCGGTGATTGTGGCGCCCATTGCCTGCGCAGCCACAACGACGACCACCGCGCCCACCCTCATGGAGGATGCTGACGAGGAGCTGGAGCTGGATGAGATGGAGCAGGAGGAGCAGCAGGAGGATCAGGAGGCGCTCGAGGATCAGGAGGAGGCGCAGGTGGCTGCTGCCAACGGCCTGCTGGCCTGGAGCCGAGCAGCCGCCAATCAGCAGCAGGCGCAGGCCGTGCTGATGCAGGGCTAAGTCCACCTGAACCGCCACCGAGCACCGCCACTTGCTGACTCCTGGATGGATGAGATGGATGAGAACGGATGGCTGTCAGTGGCAGCTGTTGCCCCGACGACACAAATCGCAAATGAATGCAAATGCAAATGAAAAATGGTCTCTTCTTATTTACTCTGCATTGAATTGTGCACCTTAAACACGTAACGGTATCTCTTTTGTTGTTGTGCAGGTGTTTGCCAACTGCCGTGCAAATGTTGCTGACATTTGCGGCCGGGCAACATTTGCAATCTACAATAATCTAATTATTATTATTATAATTATTATTATTACTATTATTGCAGTGCGTAAATATACATATACATATATACATACATATACATATTTATTTCTAAAATGACTTTGTTAATTCTTATGTTAAAAAGCTGAAAAGCAGTTGGCAGATTTTTATACACACAAAAGGCGAAAGCAGCAAACAGCTAAAATACGTACGTTTGCCAGCTGTTTTACATAAAACATAACAAAAAAATGCAAAAGAAAAAACAGCAAAAAACAATTCAAGCATAAACCAACAACAACAACAACACATGAAAACCAACAATATTTAAAGCAAATATACATTTGATTTTTTTTAATTGTAAGAACTCTAGTAAATTTTTTTATAGTATTAAGTGCAATTTCTGTTCTACTTCTCGCTCTAAACAAAGAAAACAAAACGAAATGAAATGAAATGTAAGAAAACGAATCAAACCAACTCAAACAAACAAACAAATCAAAATGAGGAGGTGGTGCAGAAATCCCTTTGCTCGGAATTTACGTTGATGTACGCAAGAATTCGTCACGAAGTGATTTCTGTGCCGCCTCCGCTTGAAAGCAGAATATTCAAACGAAAACCTAAAAATATGCATATTAAATATTCAAGGCGTTGCATCTACACATTAAATAGGCATAAACGAAAAATAGTTAAATTACTTGCATAATCACATGTAACTCAAATCCAAGAGCCGTTTAAACAATTTGTAAGTGTGTGTGTTAAGCGCTAAGAGTTAAGTATTAATCGACTTCATGCATACGAGCGGCAATAGATGGACACACAGCTAAATAATCTAGTTAATTAAGCACCCAGCCACCACAAACCCACCCACAACCAAGTACCCAAAAGCCCAAACTCTCAAACATCTATAGAACAATTACCCTTCAACCCCAAATCCCGAGTCCAAAAACCACGCTAATGTAACATATAGACATACGAGCAACTTAAACTTAAACGTAGTGAATTTTTAAAACAAACAAAACCAAGCAAACAAACAAACAGACAGGCCGACAGACAAACAGATGGATTGTGAGGTAGATCTTATATCCTTATCCTTATCGAGAAAAGGGAATCGTCGAAATTTCAATTGGAGCCAGAAGGAAAACACTTTCAAACATGTTCAAATTTTTAATAAATTGTTAAGTTGATATTTTCTAAAAACACACAAAAACGAAAAATGAGCTAAATTTGTCTATTAATTAATTTGTAATGAACTTATGACTAAAAGCTAAGATTTAAAACAACAAAAAAAAAAACAAAAACTTTTTGCGTTGTGCAACTGTTGTGAATTGTTCAAATTACGGTATACACATACAAACAATGACGTCACAAAGGACCCAGCGAGGTTTGCGAGGATATAAGCAGATGTAGCCCATCTAGGGATAGCTACGAATTGAGATTGAAGAGCAGGAGAATTTACGGATGAAGAAATGAAAATACACAAGGAATTCTTAACCAAATTGGAAGTACAAACTAAAGTCTAGAATATGTAAATATAGAACCCCCATACACACACTTAACGAACGGAAGTAAAAGGGAATACGAAGCGGAAGTGCAATGGGATAACGAGCCCAAGAGGAAACCGAGTCGCGATCGGAAAAAGTAATGTTGATGGGCGAAGAGGAGAGGATAGGAGAGGAGGGAAAATTGAGCTTAGGCGGCAGCAGCTTTAAAAATGTTTGAAAATGAAAATGGAAAGTTAGGGAGAGCGGGAAAGTTGAAAGAAACCGCGAAAGCGGAAGCGAAGGCATGCAGAAACCGTAAGGAGAAAGTAAAACACGCAAGCGAAAATTTCATTGAAATTGTTTGCCGTGATTTGAATGAAATTCATAATGGTGGCCATTTTTGTGTAATGCGAAAAAGTTTAACAACATTTTGTACACTTGTATTTCGTTTTTATTAACTATAAGTTTAACCAAAACAACAAAAACAACAACAAGAACGATTGTAAGCAAACGGAGTAAAATGCAACTGAAAACGGAGAAAATGCAATACATTTTACTTATTTTTGTCTGTCGCCCCAGAACGGCGTCTTCTATTCTTTATTACGAATTATGATTACGAGTATGATTATTGTCATCATTATTATTGTTTTTCTTGCTAATTTTCGTGCACCATACACAAACACCCCACACACAAGCGTAGTTAAGTGCGCACACTCGATCTATTTCGTTGCGTTCTGGAAATTATTTAAACTTAAGTGATATTTTTAAACAAACAAACAAAAAACAAAGAAGAAAGAAGAAAGAGGAAGAAAACTATCCATTATTATATAATTATCGCTAATATTTCTTACTATTTTATGTGTACGATTACCACGATTATCACGAAAAGAGCAAGAAATACAAGGCAGGCTAAGTCCCGCGATCCGGGATGTCCTCAAAATCCCGATCGGAGATTAGAACTGACCTACCTGAAAAACAAACGGAATGTGACAACGGATGAAGAAAACCGGAAATGCTTAACGAAGATAAGCGGGGAAGAATTATGGAGGGAAATATCAGAAATATCAGTAAAGGTCAAAGCTCTAATCCATCGAACATGAATGCTAGATTCATACAATAGCGAGAAATAATATTTCTTTTTGATTTTTTTCTTGAAAAGAATACAACACAACAACAACAACAACAAGAACACCCATTTTATTAAAAAATATACAATTGTTATTTATAATTAAACAAAACAAAAACGAACCACTTTGTTTTTATTATGATTTCACTTTTCAGTTGCCACCTTGGTTACCCCATTCAGTTTTTATTCCTTGGTTCTTGGAGCGAAAGGTTTCCGCACTCGCGGAAACTCCAGCCGTAATCCCCCTTATAAGAAGAATGCATTTCTCGAACAGACACGGTTTCTCCCAGGGTCTCAGACGTAGAACAGATGGTATCGATACAAATTGTAGAACTTTCTACAGGATCTATTGGCATTTTGTTGGTAGAATGGAGCCAGAAACACAGTTGCTAGATCCGCAAATGTTGGATTTTTCTTTCCGCTGGTCTAAGATGTACAGAGAAAGCAGTGCTTACATAACAACAGATCGATGTGTTTATCTCTTAACTAGCTATATACTTATTATCGGGCATATTTGCCAACGTGTACGTCTAAGCAGCATATGCATGTAGATGGAAACTTATGATATTTCATTGGATATTTATCGTCGTTATTGATGTGTAAACATAAAATTAACTCTAAGCTAAGATGGACTCGTAGTAGTCCCTTAAGAGGATCGAGTTTGGTTAAAATTAGAAATCTCACGGCAGCTGGCGGCCGGATTCGGATGCAGATTCGGGTCCGGCGCAGCGAATGCTGGTTCAGCGCGGTATGTTGCATCCACTAAACGATAACTAAGTAATTATACTTGATACATTATATACATATACAGTACATTTAGGTGTGTAGCTAGGGGCAAAGTGTCTGAGCGAATTTTGAGCGATTCGGACCTGGGACCTTGGACTTCGGAACTCCGCACGGATATATGTTATATCCGTGGGATTCCACTTCCGATTCCGGCCAGAATCGGAGCTCTGCGACCGTGGCTGCGGCCTGCGCGTCTTTGTGTGTGTGTTGGTGTTCATTTTTTGGATAATTGGAAAGCGAAATTAGTTTTAAAACAAAATTGCATTCAATATAAGGCTGATTTATTTGACTTGTTCATTTTGATATATACACACAAGCACACACACACTCACACACACACTCACAACACACACGGCACACACGCACACTCACGCATATCAGCCAGGCAGCTAACGGTGCTAGACATTGAATTCCATTTAAGATTAAGTGCATTAAGTCGGTTAGTTTAGTGAGTATCCAGCAAAAGACTTGCGCATCGTTTATTTGGCTGCGTTTTCACGAACCCATTCACTCCCAGCCACTCGCATTCATCCATTTCATAGTCGAGAATCGAACAGGAGCGGGCCAAAGAAGCTACATCCTGGGGATCTCGCGTTTTTCGTAGCATACCCCAGGGGGCTGAGGTGAAAAGTTGTTGCACGGAAACGGAAACGGAAACGGAAACGGAAACAAGTGCTCTACACTGCCAGCAACGAAAATCCGCATCCGAATCGCCACCACATTCTGCTTAAGAAACACACGAATTCGAGGAAGCAATAAGCTGTTTATACAATCAAATACCCTGTAATCATGTATCACGCACACATTAGAGCATTCTTGTGAACTGACTGATACTTCAAACCAAAAAAAAAAACAAAAAAAAAACAAGAAACCAAAATAAGAGGCGAGATTATGTATAGGGAATATCACGAATATCAGACGTGAAATCATCTAACATAGGCCGCTTAAAGTTAAGCGAAAAATCATAATTTCAATAATAGGTTTTAAATAAGTTTTTCTACCCACGAGTTGTTGTAACTTTTTTACAATTTAAAATTTAAATTTATGATAATTGGCAGGACAATTGTTTTGATAATGGTCTGAAAAGGACGCGCGCGTTACGATGAGAATTTCGGCCGAAATTGTACTCAATTATCTTGCATTGATTATTGGCTGGCAACTGAAACCACTAGATGTCTTCAAAAAAGATTGGCTGAATGCATCCTTAATTTCGAAAAGACTTTTTCTTCGGGGCGGACCCCACCCCCCTTGAATATTTATGGGTTAACGCGTAGTGCCCATGGAAATCGAAGCGGAGCGGGTGTCGCGAAAATTAAAAATTAAATCTAAACACTTAACAATTACTATGTAACATTAACAATAATCGGCTTAGTTGGGCTAACTGAGAACTTTACTAGGATCTAGGCGATATGAGAGATGAACGTTGAAGGACTTGACGCGACTTGATTAAAATTAGACGCTCCCACTTCCCCCGTTCCCACCACATTTGTATTTGTATCTGTATTTGTATGTCTAGCATTAGGGGCATCCCCCAGCACACCGCACACACACACAAAAACACACACACATACAACCATTCATCATCACCTTGAACTTTTCGTGTTTTTATGTGTAGTTCGTAAGCGATGAGTAGGGACGAGATGAATCTATGATATAATATAATATACTTGTTGTTGTGTCCACATCTATAGGAGTAACTAACCCGAAATCAGATCGATGCATCCTTGTTTTGTTTACCTTGTTGACTTGTTTGCTGTTACGAATATCTATCGATTCTATTAACCCCACTGTGTACTTAACTCGGTTCTGCTTGGACTGGCCAGCTAGTTGAACTGGCGAAGTCGGCGAAGTTAGGCTAGAGCATAATTTAAAGGCAGGCGACGGTCGCCAGGATCGCCGTGCCGCCACTGATCACCACATAACAAGGTACAAAAGAGGCGCAATTGGGGCGGCATCCACCCCTGCCACGCCCATTAGCCAAAGGGGCGCAATTAGGCCTGGAGCAGGTGAAAATTGAGCAGAGGAGCACACAGACGACACAGAAACTAAAACAGAAACAGAAACAAAAACAAAACCAGATTCAGCTACAGATTTAGAAACAGATAATACTACAATTACGAATTAGCGTAACGGAGTTTTGCATTTCCAAACGAATACCATATGAAACCAAGTAAATAACCAACTAAGTGTCGTGTATATTCCATGTTAAAATACAGCCACAGTGCTGCATATAAGCATATACTTATACATGTATACAGTATAAATATATATATATATATAACCATATGCATACATATATCTAACCGAAATTATGAATAGCGAACGAGAACAAGAGCAAGAAATCCCTTCAGACGGCAATGATTGTTCATATACCCTAGATAAATAGTTGTGCATTAATCAATCGTACAGTTTTCTCAATGTGAAAAGCTTAAGTCCACACCGAAACCTATGTAATAGCAGCTAAAACTCGAGGACCCAAGGACCCCCCTCTAGAAACCCAATCACCAGTGGGTGACCCCAAGCCCGAACATGGTGACCCCGAAAAGTAAGAAAATAAAATACATAACGAGTATCCGTAATACAGAGCAGCAGAGATGTTTAACACTTCAATTAAACATTGGTGAGAATCGAGTACCTACAAAACTGAAAGAGATAGAGAAGCGCCCACACACGCACACACATCCTGCACATCCTGTGGTGGACTAGTGTGCGTGTGGGGCGACTATATTTTTTGCAAAGCAAATTGTGCAGCAAGTGCAGCCGAAACTAACGGATAACGTTTTACGCGCGAACATTTTAGACATACAAAAAGTAAATCGAGATGGGCAATACGAAGCGAGGGGAACACACACACAAACTACAGATCATAAATAGATATATTTTGCGTCTTTATATACAGGAAAACGGCATATTTGTATATTTACACTCAATGTACAGATCGAAGCTACGAATCACAGCAGCTAGGGATATGTAGGGATACTTTAGTACTTGTTGCTCGGTTGGCTTTTTATGCTTCATGTTAACTCCACTCCAGATCAGCCCATTACGCCATTACGCCATTATCCACTAACTCTGGCGTGTTGGCCAGGACTGGCACGCTTTCCACTTGGTGTACTGTCCACGGAACACTGATCTGCATATGTACGTATACGTATACCTAAGGACCCTCACACTCATCACACCGAAGCATTGACTCCAACACCACTCACGCTACATGGGACGAGTCCCACGAAATAAAATCATTTTCAAAACTATTTTAAGCGAATGAAAAAGAAAACAATGACAAAAGCAGAAACTCTAAAATCATTTCAATGGACGTGTTTATGAATGTTGATTTTAAACCATAAATCGAAATCAGAATGAATAAAGCTAAACAACTAAATGTATGGAATAAGTTGAACAAAATAAAAATTCTATAATAAAATAATAAAACAGAAAAGACAAGAGCAAAATGATACTTTCAAAACTAGATATTGTGTTTTTATTATTCAAAGGGGGTTGCTCAATAATATACAAATTCGCTGCTATCAGGATATGTTTGTTAAAAGGGATAAGGGAATAGTTGTAAGTACATAAATTATTGGGGCAGCTCGACTAAGCCATCACTTCGTAATCGAAACATAGTCAGATTGCACCATGTAGACCACATGTACCAGGATGAGGGATGCAAACCGGAAGGCCGAAGAGTGATTTATGCGAAATACGCCAAAGATAGTGATGTGGGTGTGCTGCCAAGTCAACTGCAGCGACAGCCATTCGACCTGTGAAGCTCAATGGATTATAGTTTGTTGAACGGAATGACAGGGTACTCACGCTTCGTGCCACCTCCGCGCTTTCGTTGTGGGGTATTTTCAAGATGTCCCTGGTCACCTCGACCAACGAACCCGTTGTGTTGGTGATGCTGTTCAGCAGGAGCGAGCACATCAGAGGTTGGATGCAGGTGATGAATGAGAAGACCAGGTAGACGAGTTCAAGGTCCTGCAATCCATTGCCAATAACGAAGCGTACCACAAGATATCCCGACACAATGCCACTCCAAAGATTGCGAGCCATGTGGGCAAGAGTGACGTACCTAAAGATGGAACACACTTCGGAGGTTAAATCAATTAGGCACTGGAACCTGGCGTGCAGCCTCCTAATGTCGCATAAACTGGAGGTGACTGCTGATAAGTCCCGATCCAGGAGTACCCTCTTCAGTCCCGCCTGCAAGCGCCACCAGCACCGGGTTATCTCTGCTAGGATGGCGAACCACAGGTAGTTCATGGCAAAGATCATGCACTCCGGCAGGAAGCAGCTGCAGGGATGATTGAAGCCCATCCTGGCGCTGAACGCAAACGTGGCCAAGTGGATGCTGAGACGCAGGACCAGAAGGACGGCGAGTGCGATCAACAAGCAGTCAAGGGTATACTGTTTGTCCCGTGGTACCCTGTATCCCAGGTGCCTGCTCAGATCATTCTGATGCTTCAGCTCCTTCAGAACGGCGAGGATTCTATTTTGCCATTGGTAGCACGAGCCCATGGAGCTCAGCACCGCAAAAAACACCAGTGTAAAGTATGTGAAAAAGTTTACAGTCATCAGCGTGGACTTTTCGATATTTTTAAAGTGGTCCAGGAAATCCAGCTGAAACTTCAACGTCAGGCTGATGACCGCCAAGTTGTGCAGCATACGGTATATAAATAGGCAGCGGGATCTGCGCGCTGCTCCTGGTCCAATGTCCGCATTGAAGTCCAGAACTCCATTAAGGGCACAAAAGCAGCCCAGGCTACGTTGTAAAAGTCTTCGCAGAGAGGCCATGAACCGGCTCACCAACTTTCCAGGAAGCAACTGGGCTACAATTAGGCTGTACATGAACTTATTATTCGGTAGGGTCTGTCATTCCGATTGCCAAAGATTAAATCAGTTGGGAATACACCCCACGGGGAGCACTTGTTGCTCGTAATTAATTGACTTCGGGTGCACTCATCGATTTCTCGAACCACCTTCCTCTGGAATCATATGCACAGGAAGCAAACCGGAAGGACTGAACTAGTAATTTCAGTTGGATACAATGTAGGAATATAGTAGCGACTCTAGGTTTAAAAACTAGTACACGGGCTATTTGCTTTCTTGCTGATACACAATCTTTCAGCTCTGGCAGGGCTAACACTTTTCGCCTGGCATCGACTGGCTGTCCGATCCACGAAGCCGAGCTCGACTATGCGATCCGCTGGCAGTTCCATCGATCGGCTGCCGTATTTTAGCCCTCTGCTCAAGCGGCTTAGCTTCAGTTTGGCAGCAGCAATCACGCGAATCAGTTCGAAACAGAAGCGAAGCGAGGCCCATCCCACTCGTTGTCCGTATCCGAGCCAGTGCATCTGAAAAACTATGTGGAAAACGCTGGGGCTTGACGGTTGACGAATTTCGGAATAGTCATCACCTTGAGGGCAGATCATCAGTTGGGCTAATTGAATCGGGATCGCAAAAAAGTGGAAAATAATGAACGGATTGCAATTGGGGGGATAGCGGAGAGAGCTTGCCAATTTTTGTTGCTAAATTGCCGCGAACGCGACAATCAGAGTGCTAAGTGAGCCATCAATCAGTGCACACCGAGGTCAGCTGCAGTGTCATGGCTGGATTGGTGCCACTGTTCACCTGGCTGGTTGTCCACCTGCTCCAGACGAGGGCCCACTACATACAGATTGACCATGAAGAGTTCCGTGCCAGTGGCTTTCCGCATCCGCACTTTCCGCCGCCTCCGCTGACGCCGCTGGATCACCTACCCCAGGTGCTGGCCGCCAAGGAGCTGACGCCCGCCGAGGTGATGGTGGACCTGACCAACGACCTGACCCACCGCCTGCTCCACTACCACTCCATTCTGAATCGCAACAACTTCGCCTTCTCGCCCACTGCCTTGGTCAGCGTGCTGGTGGCCCTGTTCGAGGGTTCGGCCGGGAATAGTGCCGAGGAGCTGCGTCATGTCCTGCAGCTGCCCAACAACAGGGACGTGACCCGCGTGGGATATCGCGACATCCACCGACGACTGCGGGTGAGACTGGGTTCCAGCATGTAGGCCAGTGTGGCTGCTGCTTTGAACTTAACCCATTGCCACCGGGGCCAATCCGCTCGAGAACGCCATCCAAATTAAGTGCCCACGCACATTTACACGCCTGGCTAAGCACCCGTCCAAACGTGAGCCGGCCAGAGTGGGGAGCACCAAGTGGTCATTGATAAAGAACAACATGAAAACCAGATATGCGTACTGCCAAACAAATTGCCCCAGGCCCCAGGCCAAAGCTCAATTGATCTCCAATCTGGTTTCAATAGTTCGTCGACCCCATTGGGTCGGTTAATCTCCCAAAACTAACCAGCATTTGCTCAAGCGAATAGATTTTTTAATTGGCCATCGTTGCGTACCTTTTGCTGATCAGATTTTGGGTAATTAAATAGTTCAGTAGGGTCGTTGTAGCGCTCCAACTTCATTTTTAGAAATTGTTCTAGTTTTCAGAGTCGTGACCAAAACTTTGTAGAATTATGAAGGGCATAGGTAATGAGTAATGATTAATAAACTAATATTATAGGTTATTACATTTTTCAGACTTACTTCTTTGGCTCCGATAATCCACTGAAGGGACTCAGCTTGAACAAAGGCAATGTCACTGTCCTCAAGGATTTCGAGACAGTTCTCATGTTTTACGGATACGACTTAAGTGTAGATATGCTCTCCTCCACGCCAGCCAATCTCACATCAGATGCTGAGTTGGTCAACACCACAGTGGCCAGCAACACGACGACCATGGAAATGGAGGCGGAAACCACAACATTAAAGGATGCGGAAAGCACAACAGAAGAGCCCGCCACAACAACCACGGAGGCACCGGCGACGACGACAGAGCCTCCCACCACCACCACCGAGGCTCCAGCGGAGGCGGAGGCTACCACAGAAGCACCTGCTGCCACATCGGGAGAAGAGGAGGCCGCGGAGCCGGCTGGTGAGGATGAAGCAGCGGAGTTAGTGTCCGCCTTTGTAGCCGAGGAGGACGCCGAGCCTCTCCTGCGTATCCAAAAGGCGCGAGTGTCCAGACTGCCAACCAGCAAACTCCAGGCGCCGCTGAAGCATTCGAATCCAATCACTCCGAAGCCCATTTACCTGCCCAGTGCGCGAACAGTGGCCATGCCAATGCCAATGATGGCTCGCCAGGTAGCGGAGCGAAAGCCACCAGCAACACGGCAAGTAATTTCTATTATAGCGCCAACCGCACAACCAGTAAACATATCGGTGACTCGGAAGGCAAAGACAGCTCGATACAAGCGCCATGCGCTACCAGCATACAAGGATCTGGATGCAAATCTCTTTCTGACCCTCTTCAATCCGCACACGCATGTCCCGCACCATTCGCTGCACTTTCCGCCGCCAGTGCCCGCTGCCTTTGCCCCGATCACCAATGACTTTGAGCCACACTACGTTGGAGAGGCGTCCGAGGCAAAGTCGAACTATAACACGGATGTGATCAGCCACGTATTCTACCTGGGCAATCAGCAGGTGGTGCACACCACCTTCAAGGTGTACAACGCCGTGCTGTACTACAAGTACTTTGAGCACCTGAAGATGAGTGTGCTGGAACTGGAGCTGGACACACCGGAGTACAACCTAATGATCCTGTTGCCCGACTACCACACGGATATTGTGGCCGCTGCCGCCTCCTTGAAACTGGGGCCAACTCTTCGGCTGATGCGGAAGCAGTTGAAGCCACGCTGGGTGCAAGCCATCATTCCAGACTTCAAGCTGCATGGCACCATGTTTCTGACCAACGACTTGCAGAATGTATGTATTCATTTGTGGTGTGCATTTTGCATTTGGTGCATTTTTATTGAGCTCTTTGGTTTTTGCTTTCTGTTGCAGATGGGAATGTAAGCATGGGCGTAATAGCTCCAGTTCCTGGCTTAACGTAACTTCTTTTGCAGCTGCGATGTATTCGAGCCAAATCGCGCCGATTTCAGGCCCATGACTGAGGAGAAGGGCGTCTACGTGCGGCACATTGAGCAATCCATAGACGTCACCATCCGTACGCATCCCATCAATCAGCTGAAGCGTAAGTGTCTCGCATTGCAGCACACCTGAATGGAGTGGAGTGGAGGCATTGAGCCGCAACGCATTGCGAACGCCCCACCTAATGGTGTTGCAACAGTTGCAGCCTCTGCAACACGAGACAAAGTGCAATAAACACTTCCTTTTGCTCTCTAGGCAACTACGGCGCCCAATCGAAGCCCATTCAGATATCTGTGAATCATCCGTTTCTGTTTTTCATCGTCGATCGCGACTTGGACGTGGCTGTGATGTCGGGCCGCATACTGAATCCGCTGAACGTACGCATCCAATGAAGCACGACGAAGGTCGACTATCGAAAGTGATGAACCCTTTGTTCCCGGTGCCTACTAATACGAGATGTTAGCGTTGCTTAGATTAAAATGTAAATATACGGGGGTGTCACGAGAGTTTGGTCAAATGGAATTCCAACGGAGTAAAGGAACTTCATACTAAAATGGTCTCCAAATTGAAAGTACACCCGTTGATTGATTAATCTATATAATACTGTCTCGTGACAACCCATTATTGTAAGCTCACCCCATTAAAGTTAAATATAGAGATGTGGTCCTTAGCCTAATCAGTTCTGTGGGTAATCGGTTCTAGTACTGGTACGTTCCAAACACTGTACAGACGCAGAAGAGACTGGTGTTGCTGAAGACCTCGGAGACGGAGGTGTCGCAGTCGCAGTCCCAGCAGCAGCGCGAGTTGTAGGTGGCCCCCGCACCCAGCTCCTGGCCTAGCATCACCTGGACCACGTGCTTGTACCGCTTCACCTTGGAGCTGCTGGCTATCTGCTGGTTCACCTCGTCGGCAATCTCGCTTGTCCACTTCTTGGCAATGTCCTTGTCATAGGTTTTGTCTTCAAATGGAGAAGTTGCTAGGCAACGTGCAGTGTGTATGGATTTTCTCACTTACCTTTGAGTTTCTCGGCCATGACGTTGTTCATTATGGTTTTGATGGTGGGCAGCGGAAACATCTCCCCGAAGGCCGGTCGCATGCTGTAGGCGGTGGGCTGAGCGCCGGGCTTTTCCAAGTTTTCATGGTTTTCCACGCCATCGGCTGAGCCCGAGTTCAGACTTCCTGGCGTCGTCTTTTTCGACTGTTTCTCCGCCGGCTTGGACACTGCTGGAGTCTGGACAGATTTGGTTGGGTCCTCAGTGGATTGTTTGTCAGCCATCGTTTATCAAATTCAGCGTAGATCCCTTTTAAAGCGAAGTTTTAACCACCAAACCAAAAAAATCGCGGTTGCTATGTTTGTTTACCTATTACTAGAGTTACCAGATGGCAAAATGGCCTTCCCGCCAACCACTAATTGTCATTCACCACGAATCACCAAACTGACTTGGTATGGCCACTTTATGAGAACGAAATGTGGCATCTCTCTCTCGCTGATTTGAATTTAAAATACGCGCCAACATTTTTATAAACAATAAGAAAATACAAGAGCACAAAAGCATTAGGTTTCATAAAATCTTTATTCAATTCAAAATAAATCGAAAAGTTACATAATAAATTCGATAAATATGCTTTTATATATGCAGGTTATAAATAAAGTTACACAATAATTTAAATGATTTCATTAGTATACAATTAATGGTTGCTTGCTCTCTTACATCGTTATGTGTAGGTTCTCGCATATAGAAAATATTTGTGTGCATCTCTTTGTGTTCACTTTTATTTTGGTTGGGAGCAAATGACATAATACATACACGGGTGTGCTGATCGGGACAATATGCGGGTGCTTCGTCAAATAAATAATAATACAATCAAACGGTTTACAAAGAATCGACAAACAATCGCTAAGTGAAAATAACCTAAGAAAACTCAAATACACCATTTACATTTGCTCAAAATCACATACCCTTTGCACACGCTCACTACATTACATTAAATAAAAACACAACATATTGCATAGGACATACACAGATCAGACAGATTTCAGTGGCAACGACTAACAAAACGTACAATTAGGTCAAATACGGAACTAAAGGTATTCGCAAAAACATTCGTAATCCCTACTTTTAAGTTGCGAAATTAGTTTTTGGTTTTGATTTCTTCTCTGCCTGTTTTTACATTAACCTTGCGCGCTTCTCCAAAATCAGTTAGACTCTCTACTTATATATATTGAAATTGTTCTCTGCCAGCTTATGCTCTTTGAAAAGTTAGTTGCTCGTTTCGGTTACAGCTCACGGGTTTTAGTATTGTTAATTCTTTAAATTCAGCTGCCTTTTTGGTACGCTCTCCCTTGTTTCATCTTAAGTATTTAGGCTCAAAAGTCCGTGCACTACTTCGCAGACCACCAAGCTCCAGGGAAAGTTTGCTTTTCAAATCTGAAACAGGAGGTGTTGTTAATCTCAAACTCAAGCTTGTAGGTTCTATTTACTCACAATCGATTCTTCGTGGTCATGCGGTTGTCCAGTCAGCTTAATGCCCGTTGCCTCTGCGGACGTGGATGCCGATCCCGCTGCCGTGAGGTCGAGTTGGGAGGCTGTGGGTCGTAGGGCGGCTCGCTTGGCGACAATTTCCAGCATTTCGTTGAGAATTGCTCCCTCAGCGGCCACATCGGCGGAGCTTTTGTCCAGTTCTGCAACGGTGGCAGTAGATAACACATAGTAGTGTTGATGGGAAACAATAACACTCACTGTTGCAGGACAAGCGCAGATTGAGCTCTTCCTTCAGCTGGGCATGCCGATACTCCAGTTGCAGTTCCTGTTGCCTTATAGTCAGTTCCTCATCGCGTTTCCTGAAACGAGAATTACATTAACTTCGTTTATTGTAGAGCCTTATAGACCTGCATACTTGAGTGCTGTGATGTTGCGCCAAATCTCCAAAAGTTCCTTAAGTAGCTTCTCGTCGTTGTCCTTTGTTGCATCCAGACTGTAGAGGACATTTTATTTAATTTGTATTTCAGAAAATGGCTTAAGTCTAGCACTCACTTTTCGATATTCTGCGCCTCGCCTCGCAAGGCCTTCTCAATTAGCACGCCGCGTGCCTCCAGATCCTTCAGTTGCACCTCGATCTCCTCCTGTTCCCGCTGAATCTCTTGAGCGATTCGCAATCGCTTGAGCTCAGCTTGTCGTGAAGCCTTCGATATGGCACGTTGCTTCTTATGCTCTCGTGTCTCGTTAGCGTAACTCTCATCTGGAAATGGGAAACGGGATTATAGAATCATGCATGTATGAATCTTCAGTGGGTCGGGACAGGACAGTTGGCTGGACGGAAGATGCAGACATAGAATGAGAACAACAAACCATCGGATCTCTGATAATTCAGTGGCAGAGGCGGTATGGGCGGTGGTGTCTGGTCGTCCAGGGCACTGGGATGAGCTGCGGCCAGGTGGTGGGGCTTGTGTATGTAGAGCTGCGGGCTGGATGAGGAGAACGATTCGGGTTTCGGTTTCGAGGTGTTCGTTTGCTTTCGATAGCGACTGTTGTTCGTGGTGTTCAGATACTCTTGCGAGTGGTTTTTCTGTGATGTGGCTCCTGCTGGAGATGCTGCATTGCAGACCAGCATATCCTTGTCCTAGTGTAGCATGGTGTTTGGAGGTATCAGAATATATTGGTTTAAATGATTGCGTGTTTTTCAGAGGAGGTTATAGAAAGTCGAGAAAAACGTATGGTAAAATAAACCAAATTCAAAACTCTTATTAGAAATTGTTATTATTATTTACTAAAATATAGTATATACATTTAACGTGCAGGATGTCCAAAAGCAAGAAACTTAACACATTTATCTTAGGAATTACCATAACCGGGAGTCCAGGGAAACCAATCATGCAAAAAATCCATGAAGCTTAAATCATAAATAACACTGCTTAAAGTAATTCCCAATAAACAATAAGTTGCCCAGTACTTAAACCAATAAAAGCTTAACGTTTAAAACACACAAGTGAATATCCCTGAATATCCTTGAATATCCGGAATATCGGTAAGGTTTCCCTGAAACTCATGTGCTTCTAATATAATATAATAATATTATATATAAAACTAGAAAACATATATGTTATTCAAGAGGCAAAGGAAATAATTCAGCATTCAAACTTAAAATGTTAACACTTAGATAACTTTTTCTGCAAGGGGTAAAAGAAAACAAAAATAAAGTAAATGAAAAGAAATCATAATAAAATTATTGAAATTTTATTGGGTTAATAGGACAGAAACAGACAAAAAGCCCATTCAGATGGAGAAATGTGCGATTAGATATTATTAGAATAAACCAAAATGTACGGATGCCAAATAATAAGACTAAGCTTTTGAGAGTGTACGTAATTTGGGAAACTCGAAAGTGTTTGGTAAATGGGTTTTAGAATAGTTAAAAGTCCTTACACCAAAACCGAAATTCCTCAGATCAAAGCAAGACTGCAAAACGATTAAAAGAATTTTAAATGTTATAAATGGCACACTTATTACACCAGACATCGAGTCCGCGGCAGTTAATATAACTTATATGCTAGATGAGGTCGTGTGAATCGATAGCTTGGACTAGCCAATCTCCGTGAGGCAGACAGCACTTGGTTACAGCAACACCGACCAAAACCACATGACAAATAGATCAAATAGACAAGCACTGACCTTTGACTTTTCCTTGGACTTCGGCGAGATGCGGAATCTACTGAAGACGCCACCTCCTCCTCCGCCTCCACCCGCCGCATCCGAGATTGTGGGCGTGCCGCTGCTGCTGGTGCCGGGACGCTCTGACTGTTCAGAGTGACCGGCAGCCACAGCGCCGCCCTGCTCCTTGGAACTGGAGGTCGCGGATGCCGACCCCTTTTGGAAGAAGCTGGACAACGACTGTATGAGACTCTTACGCCGCTCCGGATCCTTTTGCCTGCGACCGGACTTGGTTTTGCCTGCCTTCTCCTGCCCACCGGACGCCAAATTGGGATCGGATGTAAAGTCAGCCGCCTTGGCCTGGAGCACGGCATCCTTCTCAACCTGCTGCTGCTGCTGCTGGCCCACCATGTAGGCCAGATCATTGACGCTCTTCGAGGCACTCATTTTGCGGGCACGTGCCGCCAGATCCCCGGATGGCATCTCCTCCAGTTGCTTTGGCTTCAGGGATCTGTTTTGGTCGTAGTGCAACCTTGAGCGCATAAGCTGCATCTTTTCCTCGGGACTGAGTCCCAGTTCTGTGTTGGACTTAAGACGAGCTCTGGCCCTGGCTTCGCTCCTGAGGTTCTCCGTCGAGGCGGAAATGTTGGCTATATCCGCTGTGACAACCCCTTCTCCTCGGTTAACTCTCGCCGGGGCAATGGGTTTCGCAAAGTCGCCCAACTTTCCGCCATTGAAGGAGGCCGTCTTGCCGAGCTTGTAGCCCGCCAGAGCGTTCGAGTCAATGTGTTCGCTGAAGGGGCGCGGCTTGTAGAGATCCGCACTTCGTGTGGGCGCCTGGACAGTGCGGTAAGGCGACACATAGGTGGACGTGGCGGACTTCTGCAGCGGCCTCTCCGCCGGCGGCTTCGGTCCCTCCTCCGCCGTGGAGGCGTGGTAGTGCGCTTGGTTAGAGCAGTTGGAGTCTTGCGGATTGCAAGCAGCCGCCAGCTTTGGCGTCGGACTCAGGCTGGAGCCACTGGCATAGCCGCTGGTCAGCAAACTGCGCTGTCGACTCCGGTGCAGACGCTTCTCAGCGTTCAGCTGCTTCTTCGACTGCAACTTGTCCATGACTAGGTCGTGAATCAGATCCTTTTGCTTGGTGCGTTCTTTGGTTATCTCTTCCAGCTTGCTGCTAAGCGTGGGTATCTCAGGTACCTTGCCGGAAATGCTGGTTGTCCGCGGTCGCATTGAGACCACAGGCTCCTCTGCGGGCTTGGGCGGATCCTCGGCTGATTCTATCACAGGTGCGCTGCTGTTTAGCTGCAAGTTAGGTGCCTCTCCCTTAGAGCTCTTTCGCCGCTGGGTGCTGATCTGCGATATGCGCTGCTGCAGTGCTCGAACATACTCAAACTGGATCTGCAGGTCCTCCTCCTGCGGCTCCTTCGAGACGTTCCCTGGTGTCGAGGAGTTGGGCCCAGTACTGCTGCTCGTCACCGTAGAGGTCTTTGGTTGTTGCTCTGAGCTGCTGGGCGTGGAGTCACCCTTGCCAGCCGCCAACATTGAGGCGAATTGATCGAGAACCCGGGGCGAGGACGTGTCAAGTGGACTGGTGACCACCGTCAAGGCCTCACTTTCCTCCGTTGTCGTTGGCTGGGTCTGGGATATTATCATACTGTCATCATCCAGTTCATTGAGCGTGCTTGAGTCCGTCAGCGACTGGGTCATGGCAGGAGGCACCTCATTCACAGGAGTCTTGGCATCATCGTGCATTATGTACGCTCCCTGCTCAATGTAATCAATGCCCAGTTTCTCGTCCCGCTTTGTCATTAGAGGCGGTAGATTTCCTGGGTAACTGGATGGAGGTGCTGCCTTGCGGGTCGCCTTCTTGGGTTCCGCCTCGATGTACTCCATGTAACCTCTATTCTGAATAAGAGCTGTATTTGTGGCGGAGTAGGCCTCGGCACAAGAGCCCTCCGAACCCGTGTCCATGAACTCTATGTCATCGATGTCGATGGCACTAAGAATTCCGTCCATCTGTACCACTGGCGCCTGCCTGGCTAGCTCGTGGATCACCTCGCTGCCACTAGGAAGTTTGCTTGCTCCACTGCGTCGTCGATCTTTGCGCCGTTTTATCGTACCCTTGTTCGAGTTAAGTACGAACTCCAAGTCGACGAAGTTCTCCGAAATACAGTCGTCGGCCGTCCAGTCGGAGAGTTCCGTCTCAGTTAGCACCTGGCCAGTGCCAGTATGCTCGGTTTCCGAGTCAGATCCTCGCGAGAGAATTTCTCCAGTGGGTGTTTTGTCGCTATCGTGCGCCGTGGGCGTGGTCGGTGTATCTGGCGTCCTGGCCAGATTGCTTAAATTAAGCGTAATGGGTTTCACTGCCTGACTGTGCTCCACATTGCTTTCTACAATCAACGGAAGATTCTTCAAGCTCTCGATCTTGTTCTCATTTTTGCTGTCAAACTTCAATTTAGGTGGACCCATCTCTGGCAAGGGAGGGGGAGCACTAGCACGACGCTCCGTCTCGATGACCGTGCACTCGACCGGCTCCGGAGTAGCAGTTACTGGTTCCGCCTCCACCTCTTGGTCATCCTCCATATCCAGCTCATTCGTTTTAAGCGCCGGCGCCGGCGGAACAATAACATTGGCGGGCATATCCAAGAACTTGACATCCTCGGGATCCCCTATATACTTTCCGTTCACAATCATCAGGCTGTCCACCTGCATCAGGGCGCCACTTGTGTCGTGCACCTCCAAACGGGGCACATTGTGCTTTCCGCCAACAGTCTGAGTGTCCGGACTGGTCGTGGACTCCAAAATGTAGTGCTGGATGTCTTCGATGCTGGAAGAGTCGGAACTTGAGCAGATGGAGCTGTCGGTGGTAGACATGACCTCCGGCTTGGTCTTATCCCATGGGATATTCGGCACCTGGATCTGCACACTGTCTGGTTCATAAAGCTCATGCTCGGCCACATCCTTCTCCGGTGAGTCACGCTTCTCTTCGTCCGACTGCTCCAGCAGACTCTGTTGGTCCTCGCAACTTGGCTCCTTCGCTCCCGTTCCCTCCTTAATATGTCCCAGTATATCTGGTATGCATTCCTTCACATCACGGGAGACATCCGGCTTGGGTTCCTCCTTCACTTCCTGCTGCAGTTCGCTGATTTTGTTGCTGTCGGGTGTGAGGCGTTCATCCACATCCATGTTGCTGCCATCCACCAACTGCTTCTTCGGCGTTTCCAGCGCCGTTAGATCGATAATGTCCATTGGCTTCTCCGGTGTCACAAGGTCAATAACCTCTACCGCCGTCTTATTCGTCGGCGTGGTGGGCGAACTCTTTCTGGCCAGCTGGTCCAGCAGCGTGGCATTGACCGCATCCGTGTATTCCATGCCTTTGTTCAGCTCGTTCTTACAGTTCACGAACACGTTTTCCTTCTCGTTGTCCGTCGAGTGGCTGGAGCCAGTTTTCTGTATCCGAAGCTCCACGCGCAGATCGTTAATCACATTGCTGGTGGCGGAACGGATTAGCTCGTTCGTCTGTCCGGGTGTCTGGCTGCCCTCGCCCAACTTTGTGCGATCGAGGAAGGTGCGCATGCCGGCACTGATGTCGCTGCTGGGATTCAGGAGCTTCTGGCACTCCGATATGTTCGACTGGAAGCTGCGAATGCGCGAGTCTAGCACCGAGGTGGATCCGGACTTCTGGATCTTGTTGCCATTGGCCGGCTCACCCAGCAGATAGCGCTTTTTTAGCTCCAGGCTCTTTTTGGAGGCGATGCCCTCCGTACTGGCCGTCTTGTTTAGCAAGTAGTCTCCTGGCCGGGGATTCTGAAGAGGAGCGCGCTGGCTGCCAATGAGCAGGGTGGGATCCACCTGGACCAACGGTTTGAACTGTGGCAGTGGCGGCTGGGGTTGGTATTTCTGGAGGTAGCTGCCGCCCTTCTCCCGCGCCGCCAACTGCCTCTGATGGAGTCCGGCAGAAGCTGCATTGGGTCCGATCATGGTGGACTTGATCTGCAAGGTTAATAGTCAGCTGCACGTCTTTAAAATACACTTGCACTCCTCCACTTACCTGAACCTTGGTGGGCTTCCTTAGATGGGTGTCATCGATGAAGATTTTGGGCGCCTGGCGTATAATCTCATCGTTGTCAAACTCGGAGTCGGTGGATATCTCAGTGGCAGAATTGAGCTCCACTTCGTCGGGGGAGGTGCTCTCAGACTCGGTCTGAACCTGCAAGTGGAGTTACGAATACGCAAAGGATTAGAGTGCGTTAGGACAGGACAGCAAGTAACTAAACGAACGTAAAACAAAAGCAATGGGAGCTGGGGTCAGTAGTGATCGGTCACAGATCGGTCTAGCTACTGCCCACACCCGAAGGCGGCGTTTTATGTACAGCAAACACCTTTGGTTCGCACATGCTAATTAGTCGGAGTAGTGAGTTAAACAGCAAAAAACAGCGGCATCATGCCTTTAGGTACGATCCAGAAGGGAAACGAGGGAACGGAACGCTGAAGGACAAAACAAACGCTGGCCAGGATTAGCTAGGGGTTAGGCCTGTTTTTGTTGTAAGGACTGCAACAGAACGACAGAACGACACAACACAATCGGTATTCAGTTTTCAATACTTTCTAGGTTTAGAGACTACAAACTTTCGGCTTTTATCGGGCTGCTTGAGTTCGGGGTTAGCGCAACATGTCGCGGATGGCTGTGCTTGAATTTACCTTCGTAGATCGTACCCAGATGCATTTACTTTCAATCAAGTGGCCAACTCGATCTGAGGCTAGACCGATCTAGTCTTTGGCTGATTGGAGGACTTGGACTGGACTTGAACTTGAACTTGAAGGCGTGGCACATCGAGAGCAGACAGGCGGGCGGGCAGTCTAGCATGGTTGATTGGTTGGTTGTTTGGTTGGTTGGTTGGTTGGTTGGTTGGTTGGTTGGTTGGGTGTTCTTGGGCTGCTTATCGGGGACCTATAGTGTCTTGAGCGGGGGTCGGGTTGGTCAGGGAACAGGGGCTGTTTGTGGGGTTGGTTTCGCTGACGTTGGGTTGGCTCTCAGTAGAGATAGTAGTTGAGGCGTCGTCTGCGGCCACAACGGGGTAAAATATAAATGAAAAGAGAAGGCTGCTTTGGTGAATGGTTTAGGGCTAACAACTAGGAGATAACGCACGACTCTTTGTTGCCGTAGCCGGAAAGTGCGGATCCGGATCCGGGTCCGCTGGCGGGACTGCGTCGTCGGAACAGGTCACTCAAATGGGAGCTACGCGTGCTCGATGGATAGTAGCTGCTGGTTGCACTGGCGCTTGGTATGTAGCTTCTCCTGCTCAGATAATCGCTGCTGGGACTGAGGTAATCGTAGTTGTTGCTCTTCCTTGTTGTGGTGTTGGGGAAGCGATTTAGCGTGGAGCTGGCATAGTGCCTTGGCCTGTAGCTGGTCAGATCTTCATCCACATCGTCGTAGTCCCGGCGATCCGTACTCCTAAGCACATCCCTCATATAGGGGTTCCGCTCCACCACTCGCTCGTTTACGAAATCTCTTTTGCGGTTGTGTAGCCGTTTGCTTCGATCCAGCAAAGCTTGGGTACTGGCATCCATTGGGTCCTCGTAGTTGACATAGCTGGCAGGACGAGCTGTGGCTACTGTTGTGGTGGTGGACAGTGTGTCCGTGTCCTGGCTGGACTGCGCCGACAGAGATTGCATGGAGGGTCCCTTCTTAAGGTCGCTATACGACTTTGAGCTTTTCCTGGAGCTGTTGACCAGCGGTTTGAATGCCTGCGGGGACTGAGAGCGCGGCTTGTCCTTGAATCTTTGGGAATCTCTTTTCCTTGGGGACAGTAATCCCTCGAACATATCCTCCTCCTCAAGAGACTCGGCTCGCTTATCAAACATTGTTTTCCCATCCGGCCACTTGCGATTCTTGAATGCGGCCGAAGGAGGAGAGTCCGAACGAGCGTATTCGGGCAGCTGCTTCTTTAGCTTTTCTGCCTCATCTTCATTATCCGAATCCCCTAGATCGAGCTCTCCTTCCAACTGCGTCTTGGGCCAAGCGCGGCCCTGGAACACCTCGGGCACGGGCTCATCAATGGCCACTGGCTCGGGTACGAACCTAGGTGGCTCCGGCTTCGGAAACTTCAGTTTCTTGGGCATGGGCACAATCACTGGCTTGTTATCCTGTAACTCTATAAATGCAAACGAACTGCGCCGCGTGGAGCAGGTGGTGGAATCCATTGACGTACCGCTGCCATCGACATCTAGCTTCTTGAACATGGGCGGAGTTCCCTCGTGCCGCGTGGCGGTATCCTGGGTGCGATTCGTGTCCTGGGTGGTTCCGCGTCGCGATGCCGTCATCATGGGCGGCGTGGGCGGTGGTAAGCTGCGTTTGCTGCTCGAGTTGCTGCTGCTCTGTAAGGAGTCGCGTCTGCGCTGCTCCGCCACAATTGCCTCGAAGTTCTCGTCCCGCTTGATCAGCGCCTGGCGTCTCTCCTGCTCGAAATCCTCGATTAGGCGTCTCTGTGCCGCCTCGTCATCGGCATCGGAGGGTAAATTGTTCAGAAGTTGCACGGGGTTGGTGCTAGGTGAGATGGCCCGCATCTTGTTCCTCCTTGGCAACATGGGACTGTTGGGCAGCTTCTCCATGTCCCACTCCAAGGAACTCTCCTTACTAGCCACGCTTGGGGCTTTATACGGCTGTTGATTTTGTAGCAACCTACGTCGTGGCATGGGTGATGCGGGCAGCTTCTCCATGTCCCAATCCGAAGAGGTTTCCTTGCTACTTGACTTGGGTGGTGTGATTATCTTTGGTATTTCCACTAGACTGCTGCCAGAGGAATTCTCGCTTTTAAGGGAGTTGCTCTGACTGATTGCCGGTTTGCGAGGACTTGGAATTGCCTTAGCAACCTCATCCGGCTGGGTGATCTTTTCCACTTTGAGCTCTTCTGGAGCCGTATCAATTTTCTTGATTTCTTTAGCATGATCCACCTCGTCGACATCTTCTTCCGCCAACATGCTGGGGAACCTTAAAGTTTGATTGCCTTCAACTGGAATCACTTCCGCTTTTTCAGGTTGGATGTTCTTCTGGTAAACCTGTTGTAAAAGATCCTGTACCGAAGGCGGCATATCCTCCGGATCTAGTTTTGATAGTTTTTTTTTCAGCCTTTGAGGAGCCACAGGAAGTGATGGTTCACTGGAAGATGAACTGCTTTTGGGTCTTCGTTGTGGGCGCGATGGAAAGTGCAATCCGTCCACTTCTTCCTGGACATTTTCCTGTGTGAATTTCTCCACAACAACTGGCTGGAAGGTCTCCTCATCGCGTTCCAAAGACTCTAGTTTATCCAAGTAGTCCCGATCTGCTGTGTCTCGGGAAACGAGTGTGGCCCTTGGTGTGATCCCTACAAGCTCATCGTTGGAGTCAAACTCCACATTCACCAACATCTCGTCGGAGAAGTGGCTGAATAGCTTCTCTATGCTCTGATCCTCGGAACTGCCCCGTTTAACCACCGTAACTGGCTGTGCACTGGGACTCTTGCTGATTGTGGTGCACAGGGAATCGGCATCGATGTCTTCTTCCGGAGGTTCGGGAATGGCAAGTGGCTGCGGTTCCTGCTCCATTTCCTCCACCATGCTCTGGAAAAGCTCATCCACTTGCTCCGCCTCTCTTTCCTTTTCCAGTTGGTTCAAGGCAGCGAGTGCCTCCTGGTTGAGTTTATCGTTTAGAGAAATTTCCGAGTGTCGTCGAGACATGACCAAACTAGATTGGGAACCACGACGTGAGCTATTTGAGGACTTATCACACCCGGTTTTGGGTAGATTTTTAATGTCTTCCACTGGTAAGGGCATCTCTACTATAGCTTCTTTGGTCGACTCCTGAATCGCTTCTACAGCTGGACTCTTGGTCTTCGAGCGCTCCAGTTCTTTGGCCTCTGTGGCTTTTTCCAGCAGATCAAGAATCTCAAAATCATCTGGAACTGGACTGGCTGGCTTTAAAGGTTTTACTTCTACAGGCTTTAGAGTCTTTGGTTGCGCCTTCTTGGTCTGGCGAACACTACCGATCTTGGCCAGCTCCTCCAGTGAGTTGTTTGCTTTGGTCACCTTTGGCGTTTTGGAGGGAGATTTCTTCTTTTTAATGGGAGACTTCCGCTTTTCAGGTGACTTGCGAGTGGCCAAGCCGAAGAATTTGGCCAGCTTGGAGTCGCGATATTGTACAGGAAGATTGTCTAAGGGATCTGGCTTAGCCTTAATCTTAGCCTCCTTTTCCTGCTCCTCCTTTTTGGCATAGAACTTATCGCGCTTTTTTTGCAGAAAGTTGGTGGCCTCATTGCGCCATTCATTACGCAGGTAATCCATGGTTTTCTCCAAGTCGCTCATTGAATCGCTGGCGGAGACAAGTGATTCCCTGGAACGAGTCAAACTGCTCAGGTTGCTGGTGGTTGACTCCATGCGACGTAATTTGAACGCCGCCTGTTCATCACTATTCTGCGAGGTAACCGAACTCATGGACTCAAATCGCTTAAGAATGTTCTGCACTCCGGTTAGTCTTTCTCTCGAAGGCTTCACGTCAAAGTCACCCTCACCCAGGGATTTGGTTTTCACTAGTTTCTTACTGCTGCGTTTGGGCAGGCCCAATTCCACATCCAACCCGGTCTCCTCGAGTATCCGATCAATGTTGTCGGACAAATCGCTGGGCGACTTTTCGTCCTGAAACAGGCGCTGGTACTCGGAGCTGGGTGAACGCAGTTCGCCATCTCCCAGGATTTCGTCCAATATTCGCTCTGCTTCATCTTTTGGCGGCTGCTTCTCTGGCGGAGCCTCGACTGCAGGAGAATTTTGTGCGGCTTCTGCTGCCTTTTTGGCTTTGGTTCCTTTGGGTACGATTTTCTTCACAATCTTGATAGTCTTTCCTTTGGATGTGGCCGTGGCTTTCGTCACGGATGTGGTACTCCCCGATTTGACTGGTTTTTTAACGCCAGTGCTCGCTTTCGTGGGCACCTTCTTTTTGGTCAGGTCTAGTGCTCCATCCATCTGGTGCTCCCTTAAGCTAAAGGTGTCCAACGAGGCCTGTCGCTTCGGAGGTACTGGTTTCGAATCTGCCACCTTCTTTGGGTTTTTTTTCGACTCCCCTTCCTTTTCCGCCTCTTTCTTGGGTTTTTCCGCCTGGTTATTGGCCTGATCCTCCAGTAGTTTGGTTTTGGCTAGGGCAGCCTCAGTCTGTGACTTCTTTAGTCGATCGGCCACCGTTTCCACGGTTCTTCGTTGTGGTGCTGGACTGCTGGGGAAGTACTTGGCCAGATTTACGTCCTTGAGCGTAACCTGATTCTTGTTGGTGCTGCTGGCAGAGCTCTTCTCTTGCTTCTGGTTGGGAAAGTACTTGGACAGATCCATGGAGGGTGGGGCCTGGGCACTAACCGTTGGCATAGTCAGCTGTGATTTAATATGATCCATGGTGCCGGCAAAGCTGCTTGCTTGGATTTCCTTCAACTTGCTGTTGAGCTCTTTGTTTGGCTTTCTTTCCACATCATCTACATCCATATCTTCATCCTGATCGCTGCTGTTCTGGCTCTGGATCTTTTTTAAGGTACCAAGGATTCCTTCAATTTGCATTTTGCTGTTATTTGAAATAGGAGCTTTTTTCACCTTGGGACTTCCGTTGCTGGCATTACTCTTCAAACTGTTGGAGCGGCTCACGTTTGTACTGCTGCCCTTTGGTTTTTGCTGTGGAGATTTTTTCAAACTGTCAGGCTTGGCCAGCTGCTCCTTGGGTCGCTCCTCAAAGTTCGGTTTGCGTGGCCTCAACTCATCCAGATTGAAATCGATCACTGGCTTGGGTTTGGGTTCGGAGGCAACCGGTTGAGGTGGGCTCACTACCTTTTCGAACTTTTCATCGAACTTTGACTTGGGTTGAAGCCCAGGAGCAGACGCAGTAGGAGTCGGAGCCACCTTTTGGCCTGCTGCTATGGCCGCATTCTCTGCCAGCCACTTCTCCTTCAGCGTGAGCTTGCGCAGGATGTCGCTCTTGACCAGATTTTCCTTGGCCAGCACCTCGAGGTCCTTGTTCATCTTTACCATGTTGTTCATGTGGTACAGTTTCTCGCTGATTGCCTCGATCTCGCTGCTAAACTTGCGTGGAGCGTTTCGCTCCAGTTGCTCCATCTCGACGCGAGTGGGCGTGGAAAGGGGCGTAGATGGCTGGCTGCGCGCGGACTCAAAGGAATTGCCGGATTTCAGAGAGCTTCTGTCGGCCACGTTCTCTTTATTGTCTACGTTTAGCTTAAGTTTCTAATCATTGAAATAATTTTGGATTTGTAAGGACAAGAATGAAACCAACACCATGAGAAGGAGATTAAAAGAATAATGTCAGAGAATAGAGTCAAGGAAAATAAATGAGAATAATGAGAAGGTTAGTCTCCCCATCGCCAAGAGACAAAATAGTTAAATATGACCCACCTCGGTCTCCGTATCTGTGGGCAGATTGGCGGGCAACGGCTGCAGGCGAACCTCCTGGCGTCTCAGTTCGCGGGCCTTCTTGAATTCCTCACCCTCCGTGTCATCTTTACCATCGTCTAAAATCCAATGAATAGTTTAATAGTGATTTTTAAACTTCCCCTTTTATGCCCACTCACCCGCAATACCTTCACTTGAGTCGTAGAAGTCGTCAGAATCATCGCTATCCTCACAGTACTGCTTTCCAATCCAATCCGACGCCAGCTGGAGGGTCTGAGCGCCAAACGGCGAATCATCCGCCTCCTCAAACATCTCCGAGTCCGATTCCGTATCAGATTCATCTGAGCTGGACAGCTCTGACTGGGAATCGTTGTTGGACTCGGGCAAGAAGTTGCGACCAGACCATTCGTGCTCGTCAATAACATTGGCTTCATCATCGGACATGGCATCGGCAGAGGCATTTGCTCGCGAGGTCTCCAGTAGATCCACCTGATCCCTGGGTGGAGTGGTGTCCATGGGCTCAGCTGCGGCAGCTGGAGTGGGTACGGATCCCGCAGTTGGTGGTACAGCAGGCGAGGCGGGTTGAGCGGCAGCGGATTTCTAGGGAAATAGCAGAATGGGTTCCAGTTAGTAGGAACTCTCAAATGGATCCAAGATAGATACTCACCCTGGCCTTGTTGGAGCGCTGCGGCAACGGCTTGGGCGGCAACCGGAAGTGCTGGGTGCAGTAAAATCGGCCCTGCGGATCGTCCCGATCAAAGGCGTAGCCTCCCAGACGCAAGTTGGTGTGGCAGTGGTGGCACTTAAGGCAATTGCGATGCAGAACCAATCCCTCCACGGTGGTCTTCTCCATCAGGTAGACGGTTTGCTTGCAGAAGCGGCACTTTTCGGAGGCGGCCTGCTTTTTAAAGGCCAGCGCCACCTTGGAACTCTGCATGGTTGTAGGGATCAGTATTAGATTGAGTTTAAAGGCGACCATGAGTAACAATTAACGATAACACTTAAACTTTTGCTTGGCATTCGATAGTGTAATGTACAAATGAGTGGGTATGTAGCTTGATGACTATGAGTGTTTGTGGGGGAATCGCCTAGACTTTTGCCTAGACTATGGCTTAAAGCACGCTAACAACATCATCGACTACAGCAACAGCAACCACAGGAAGCAACCATGAAGGTAAGCAAAAACATAGTGTACATAAATATATAAGCAAATTTAAAGTAGCACAGGGAAAACCGATAACAATGGAACCCAAACAAAACAATTGATACAAGGAGGTGGTGGATGAACACAAAATTACTCACAGATTTGGGTATGACTGTGTTGTTGGTGTTGGTGGTGGCATTGCTGCTGCCCGCGTTCTTCTCATCCGAATTGGCCTCATCCTTCTTGCCAAACTGACCGGCAATGGAGGCCACCTTGTTGCGACCCCGCTCGCCCACGTCCAGGTTGTGGCCCTCCTTCAGCTGTTTGTCCAAGTTGCGGATGGTCTGGTCGATGTCCTTGAACTTTTCCGCCTCGCGCGAGTCCTGCCGCTGCGGCTTGGACATCTTGTGCTGGCGCGCCTGGAACTGCTCCTTGCTCCACTTGGGCACCTTCTCGCGGCCCTTGGGCCCGTGGATCTCCGTCTTCTTGGACAGCTCGATCTTCTTCTCGATCTCGCGCACATTCCAGTCGTTCGAGTCGATCTTGCCGATAGCCCGCATCAGATCCTTGGGCTTCTTGTCACCACCGAGGCCACCACGTCCCGTCATCCGCTGCTCCATGTTCTTAATGCGATCGCTGAACTGCTCGTCCGCCGTACGCGGCAGGGCCGATGGAATATCTCCCCGTTCGCGATCCTTTGGTTCACGGGTTGTGGATGGGTGTTTGGCAGTGTTTGTAGTCGTGTTTTGGGTTTTTCGTGTTTGGGCGTTTAAATAATTAAGGTTTTGGGGCGGAGTGGAAAGGTTTGAAGAAATCAAAATTGATAGATATGCATAAATATTTTACGTCTGATAACTGGTCGTCTAGTAACGAATGAACATAAAGAATCAACTCAAAAGGCAAACAACTGAACGTAAGCATAACACAAAGTCCAATTTGGACCAGTTAGATGAACGAGCTTAGCTTAGCGAATAGTACATTAGTAACTGGCAGACTGGCTTAGTCAAATCCAAATGCTTAAACATCTATTGGTTAAATCGCAGCTTATATTGAAGCCAAATCGCCGAGTTTTTTAGACTTTGAGCAAACAGGAAACAATCTTATAGGGCCACCAAGAAAATACATGAAGAATCTTCATTGAAAATATTTTTTGGTATCATCTTTTATCTTCGTTGAATTGAAACACATGTTAAATATATTATTTGAGCATTGAGCATCGATTTTAACGAAATAAAGCCTTTACTATGACTTATTATACGAGCAAGTATTATGGTTAGGGATCTTGTTAGTTTCTTCACTCTTCGCTTCTTAATAGATTTTAAGCAACAGCACTGCAGCATTAGTCAGAAGTTGGGATCAACAGCGATCCGGACCACATTGGGCCAAGGCCAAAACGAGTCAAGACAAAAACACAAGACGACGCAGCGTGCAAAAGCGAGAACGGGAGATTCTCTTCGCTTACGGGAAACAGAAGCTTCCGCTCGAGGTCCTTGACGCGATCATTGAAGACGGGCGCCTGCTGGCGGTAGAGGAATATCGAGTAGTCCTCGAAGGGGGTGCCATCCTCGGCCACCCCCGCCTCACCACCCTCCCGCAAGAGCTTGCCCGCCTGCAGGAGCTGAAGGCTCTTGTAGAAATTCTGCGTCTGGTGGTAGCGCTGCTGGCGCCGCTTGCTCATCCGCTCCTGCCGATTCTCCTCGATCTCCTGCAAGCGCTGCTGGCGCTCCTCCTGCGCGGCAGAGGTGAGAGTCAACACATTGGACAGATTCGAAGGGGGTTCGGATTCGGATTCGGATTCTTGGGGGCAGGGAACTTTGATATCGATCGAGAGTGATTTGGGGAACTATGGTATGCTATTTGGGTGACTTTGCGTGGGACAGACACAGAACGGATAACTAAATCTAAATCTACTTGGCTACTAGACTTTCACTGAGACAATGCTAAGTTAGTTGTGCTGTGTGGATTGGGAGTTACGCATCACAGAGAGTGGACAATGTAGACGACACTGGGACACTTGGACACTAAGTGAACTGACCTCATTGATGGTTTCGAATGCGCTAATGGCGTTACTGATTTCATGACAGAGAGCTGTTCTCAGCAGGAGCTGAACCTTGGGAACAGATTTTCGATGGTTTTGTTTTTATGAAATTGGTTTTCTTGCGTTTTACATTTGTGATTAACAATTAAATTCTTTGAATGTACATGAGATAGCTGAGTTCAAACAATTTTCAACGAGCAATGGTAATGAAATAGAATAGAATGTATGTGTATATATTTAACAAAATGTTTGAATGGCTGATTAAGTGGCGCGATGGCACTCCTCAGACCTTCTGCACATTCGCGTATGAACCAATCCATGATAAAATATAATGCCAGCATTTACTCACAATATTGGCGGTTTTGTCGACCTGGCGGCGCTTCTTCGACCGACGTGGCGTATCGTTTTGACCTGTCGAGGAAAATAAAATAGGCAATCAGAAATCATTTAATTGCAATCATTAATAAGTCTCTGGAGTGGCTGATAAAACTCTTCAATTTTAATCAAAGTTACATTTTATAATTTTTCTAAGACTTTTTGTAATTACTTTCTTTTAATTTTTGATTCTTCACTTTAAATAGTGAAACCGCTTAATAAGAATAGTAGCTTAAATTGAATTCATCATCGAAACATTCTAATCTAAGCTTAGTCGTGTATATTTTATTGTCACCATTTAATTTAACATATATGCTCGTCTAGCAGCCACCCCGAAACTTATTATCCACCAGACTATGGTGTAAGATAGTGATCTTCAACAGACCCTGCGTTGTGGTGCCCGTCCCGCTTCCGGCAACTCCGGCGGCGCTTCCTGCTGCCCCTCCACCAATGTTGAGAAGCTGCTCGTGGCGACGCTGCCGCTTGGCTCGCTCCTCCTCGAGTACCGAGCGCCGCTGCACTGTCGTGGGTATGTCCACAGCATCCTGCATCGGCGACTTGGCCTTGGGTTTCGTTGCCAGCAGCTTGGAGAAGTCGGGCTGGGCGTGCGTATGGTTGATGCGATACTTCTGGCGCAAATCGCTAAAGTCCATCTTGGGGTGCTTGATGTGGGGGATCTCGCCGCGGAACAAGTCGCAGATCTGGTCCAAGTAGTTGAGCCAGATTCGCGACTCCACCTCGCTCAAGTCCAGCGACTGCTTGGCACTCATTACGCGATCGATGTGGAGTTCGCGCTCCAGGACGGCGAATGACAGCTCATTGCACTCCACAGGATTCATGTCCTTGGTGGCAGCATAGTCGATGAGATCAGGACGATAGCTAAAAGGAAAAATTTTAATGGTTGTACCAATGCACATTGTATTAAACGACTACTTACCGATTAATAAGCGCACATAGAACGCGTCCATTCCGGAACACATCCGAAGCCTCCTTGAGTTCGGGAATAAACTGATAAGAATGCAGCTGGGCGCTTATCCATCTCAGCAAAGTGGCACCCTGGGGCAGCAAGTCTATATCAACAACCAAAGTTATTATTAAATAAAGCGAAATAAAATGATGCGAAATGTACTGACCTCCACTGCGTCGCTTGCGTCGGCCCGGCGTGTCCAAATGCGGCGTCTGCAGCGCGTGCGTGTCCATGAAGGTCTGCTCCAGAATAGACGGGTCGTCCGTGTCGACCAGATGCTTGACCTGCCAGCTGTTGACCGACTCCCTGTTCAGGTTCGGATAGCGCGTGGCCGGATCCACGGTGTAGGCACTGATATCCCGCTGCAGGGTGTCCGGCGTGGTCTGGTTAAGCAGGCGGTAGATGCTCTCGCGCTGCGCCAGAACGCCAAGGGTGCTGTTCTGCGGGTTGGACCACAACTTGATGGCATAGGCAGCGTCCATGCTGGACAAGAAACCACGGGCACAGCCCGATCCAGTGGGCCAAAACGGCTCCAGCAGACTGTCACCGACGAGGCACTGCATCAGGCGGGCTCCTTTGCGCACGATGACGCGGCAGGACATCTCGGCGGCAAACATCGAAGTGAAGTCGAACATGGCCACATCCGGTTTGCCATAGTGATTAACAGCGAACTCCAGGTTTGGCATTTGGTATTGGGTGGAGAACTCCGCAGCCTCGCGTGCATAGTCGTGCAGCTTTTGTGTATCTACATTGGCTGCGGCGAGAAGCTCGCCGGGATCGGCCATATCCTCGATGATAACGCCCTTGTCAATAAGACTGTGCTTTTTGGCCGTCATCACGAAGTAGTGCGTCTCGTCCTTGTAGTAGACGATGTTTTCCAGGTCGATGCCCGTCTTCCCATACAGCTCCTTGAAAAAGGCCTGGTTGAAAATGAACGCCACCCCACTGATCTCCTCCACCTTGGCCTCCGCCTCCGTCTTCTTGTTGATGAAGTTGGCTGTGATGGCGATGGCCAACTTGCCGCGGAACTCCTTCCGCCTAAAGTCCAGCATATTCCGCTTGCCATCCGCCCCGATCAGCACATCGAATTCGTAGTGAGATACGGCATGATCGGATGGAGTAACTGCTGCCCGCCATCCGCCGCCATCGCCAGAGGGCTCCACAGCGTGCTCGAAACTGACGCCCTCGTGGATCTCTACGCCCAAGAGCAGCGCCACCTTGAGCAGCATGCACTGCAGCTGCCGAATTGAGATGTGATCGATGGAGCCGGCGCAGAACTTGCCGTAGAATTTCTTGGCGCCCAAGTTGCGCAGATCCGTGATGACAAATGGCCACAGATGGAGCACATTGTTGCGGGTGATGCGATCTCGTTTCTCCAGCACCACCACCTTGGCGCCCAGCAGTTGGGCCTCGATGGCGGTGCGCAGTCCACAGGGCCCTGCTCCGATGACCAGGACGCGTGTGCCAGTACAGGCTGCACCCTTGCCGTACACTCTATGGGCAGCCCTGGCGTCGAACTTCTTCCACAGGGCCTGCGCCTTCCACGAACGCACCTTGGCCTTGAGCCGCGGGTAGAAGTCGTTCAGGGGCGAGGGCCTTAATCCCACGGCCTCGCACATGGCCCGATGGAGCGCCAGGATCTGGCGCATCGTAGTGGCCACGCACAGCAGGTCGAAGAGCTCCGCCGCCTCCGCGGCAGCCGCGTGCTCCGCCATCAGCAGCTGCTGTTGTTGCTGCTGCTGCGCCGTCAGCTGCTGCTGCTGTTGCGGCATTTGCTGCTGCGGTTGCTGGTGCGGCGGCAGGTGGTGGTGCTGCTGGTGGTGCCGCTGGTGCTGGCGGCTCATTCTGCGGAAGGAGAGAGGTTTGGTAGACATAGAGTTAGTGGAGTGTTTCGATATAACGAGTACGGCTACTAGAAAACTAAACTTGCACATGGCATTTGGGTATATACAACATAATGTGACGATTTGCTCGTTTTCGTTGGGACATTTAATTAATTTTTGACAGATTTTTCATTCACTTTTATCCGCGTCTATACGAAGCACTTAACTCTGCTTATTTGCGCTGTCAAATTAATTTTAATTAATGAAGCGCATTTAATAAGATTCATATTTGGTCGTTTGGTCGCTGTTTTCATACCCTACATATTTTTGATAATAATCTACGTGCCAATTAAAATATTTTTAAATTTAAAGGTATGAAATTAAGCTTGAAATGGATGATATTGTTTTAAGAGTAAACTGCGACCTCCTTGGAAGTCAACGAACCATTATATGTTTACTCATAAAGGACTGCCTCGTATGTAAATGTAAACAAAATACAAGTTTTACTTTTTAAATATTCCCGGAAAGCGGAAAGCGGAAAGAAACACATCTCCTTTCGTTCTTTCATTCTTATTTTTCCATCCAGGGAACTAACAAAGAGCTTTTAAACTGAACTTGTCATCATCTTGCTTGTTTGCTCCGCCTTTTGTTTTGCTGTTGGATTCAAATGACAACTGAAATCTCGGCGCAGCATTATACATCAATTAACTGAATCAGAAAATCAGTAAGAATTACTCATGCCGTGGTCCGGCGAAATTAATACAAACCGTTGAACAAAGCAGGGAAATGCAGAAAGGAAATCTGCCCAGAAAAAACTGAACTTTTGAATACCCTTGAAACCGATTGGCTTGAATCCACACACATCATGAAAAATCCCAATAGCCAAGTAAACCCTTTTGAACTCAAGTAGAGCATTTTGTGCGAGCCCATTTCATCCGACTGTGGGCTATAATTGGAATAGCCTTTGAGTGCTGACAAGTGAGCCAGACAAAAGCCAAAGGCAAATGAGCCGGTAAAAGCTGCCACTCGAGTTTGAACTTCTGTTTGGATTCGCCTAGACAGGCAACAACCTGACAATGGACAGTAGGGAACTGAGAACCGAGAACCGAGCACGGATAACTGGGAACTGGGAACTGGCAAGTGGGAGCCGCAAGGTGGGAATCCTGAGGTAAATGGGAAAAAAGTAAGCCACAAGACCGCAGCTGTTTGTTCTTTGTGAGAGCGTTTCTGAATGTGAATGTCCCCCATTCACTCACCCGCATACAGGACAATAGCCCCTGGGAAAACCGGAGAACGAACGAGAACAAGTCACTGACCCATTTTCGGGTACATCATTAGGAATAGCGATTTTTATCGAGGCTAACCAAGCTATTAAGGATATCAATGGGATATTAGGAAATTACAACACGGAATAGATGTAAATCCCTTGAAAATCAATTTTTTAAAGCCCGTCAATATATGAAATCCTTGCAAACTCAATCTTGGTCCAAATTCGAGGCCGTTGCCTCGACTTTATTGAACACCAGATGTTTTCTTTTGCACAAACCACAAATCTGTTCAGTGTCTGGTACAATTTGAGAGATGGAGAATTTTCACAGTACTCGAGGAAAGGGCAGCATGAGGAGACGGGCGTCCAGGGACACATCGCCGGAGGGCATGTGTTCGCGTTGCTCCCCCGAGGTCGCTCGGGGATACCTCGACCCCATCACCATGGGCGGAGATCCGTCCAGTTGCTGTAGCTTGAGCATCAGGGTCGACATCTGGGGCAGTGAGCCCTCTGCACTGTACCCCGCCATAATATCAGCTGCATACTGATCTATATCCCGGCCCAGTTGCTCCACCACCGGCTGCACCACCGAATAGCGGCCATTAAGGCTGCTAAAGAACCCATGTTGCGATCCTCCCTCAAGGACGTCGATGACCACTGGGCGGATGCGGTGCAGCGGCAGCCTGTAGACGTCGGCCACTCTTTCGGCCACCTCGTAACTGGTCGCCGGGCGACCCAGCACCTTCAACACCTCCAGCACCAGTGCTCCATTCTGCCTCCCCAGATTCGTGGGATTCATTCTGAATTACGCGACTGGATGGCGACGCTGCGCCTCCCTTACTGCGATCTTGATCTCTGGTTTTGGTATTGCTAAAAATTAACAATGAATTTTTCAACGCCTTTGGTTTTGCGTCGCTAGCGAATCGGGATATTCAAATATTTTGGTTGGTAAAGACAATGAAAATGTAGTTTGTTCGGAAGTTTGTAACACACTAAAATCAGTGGCAAGGAATTTTGTGGTTCGAGATGAAACGAGGGGGTTACTGGGATCTACTGTTTGGATAAAGGTGGAAGTTTCTTAGGATAATCCTCAGATATAAAAAGATGATCTAATAGTACCACAAACCCCTTATTAAATCTCTTGTCAAATTGAACAATGGAATAAATGGAACGCATTTTTTATGGTGATGAGCTCTTTAATAGAAAATAAAAAGAAACCCCTCTTTGTGATGTTAAGGAAACGGTAATACAACCGAAAAGGTTCCTTTTTTGCATAGATTTTATCCTTGACAAATTATTCTACAACAACCCACACATGGCAAGAAATCCCATGCCATACAATGCCAAAAGTCGGTTCCAATTTTCGTTGTCTCATCGTCTATTAAAGTTCGGGACACAAATGCGATTGGCGCCAACAAACTCATAAAAATAAGCTGGCTCAATGCCCCCGACCACGCCCACATTTCGGACAGGAAAGAGGCGGTGGGTAGCCATGTGGGTGGGTCACGCAATTGGCGACAGCTCGACTGTCTTCCTCTGCCACTCTTTACACTGAGGGAAAAACTAAGTACCTACTAAAATATTATACTTGTTAATATTCGGTATTTGTTAGCTCAAAAGCTAGCTTTTCATCTCATCAAAATCTGAGTATATCTTTCGATCCGTGTAGCCATTGGTATTTTCCGCTCTTTGTTTGTCTGGGTTAATCAAAAGCCTTGTGGGTCACATTGGGCACACACCACATTATGTCATTGCGCCAAAAGAAAGGGGGTGGTGTTGGGTGGTGGTCGTATGAGATGAACCACGAAAATTAAAGTCGAAGGAAAATGAAAAGTTGAGCGCTTATCGATTTTTGTGTTGGTTGCTTTATCTGTCAAAAGTCGCCACAACGCGAAGTTTGTTGGGGCAGGGAGGGAAATTGAAATCAGCCGAAAGTTGGGGAATGGGTAGGGTATCAAAACAACCGGCGAGGGTGGACTGCATCAGGTTTTCCTTTTTGGCCATTTGGGGGTGAGCTGAATGACTCATCTTTGATACTATTCGGGGGTGGCCCGAAAATATCCCACCATTTATACAGCTTAATTACTCATAAAATCGAAAATAAAACGAAAATTGCGAACTTTGAGTAAGCGAAGGAATTCATAGCTTATAAAGTGTTGCACATGGCTGCCGGACAAGATCAAGGTTCCCGAGAACAAATGAACCATTTCAGTTTGAAATGCTGAAATTTCTCTTTCGTTTCCTTGTGCAAACTTGGCCAATGGCCAGGAAATTTATATTAAATATTCGAAGCAGCAACATCTTGTAGTCCCATTCACAAACAAAATAATTAATTTTGTTCAAAGTTGTGTTATTCTTTCCCATTTTGCTTTAGTCCATATTATACGCTCACCTGATGCAAGGCAATTGACACGTTTGTCCAAATTATCACAATATTTATCGGTTATATCACAATGTTTTGTGTTTATTTACTTAATTTTTTATTCGGAACGCTTCGTTGCGAGATGCAGAGCCACTTGATCGGTAATGAAGCTACGCCACTGCCTGGGCTCATTTTTAAGGCATTTTTGTAATAACTCTCTACAAAGACCGATGACAAAGATACAATGAGTCCGGCCAGGTACACAAAAGCCAGGAACACTGCAACCACCCCCACAACGTGAGAAGTTCGTCACAAACTGTTGATATACACATAAACCATAAAGGCAGCTCTAATTATAGATTTATAGATATTGTATCTACATGCAAGTTTTGTTTATTATTACTCTTCGATAAGAAAGCTCATTCTTGAGCACTTTCTAATAACATCAAACCCACGGAGGAAATGCTTTCCGACTTGGGCATGAAAGTCACGTAATATGAATATATCTTTGTTATTTTATTCGCTCGCCTGTATGTGACAATTGTAAATAGAAATATGTCACTGAAACGTGAAGAGTTTTCAGAAGTTTTTGTAGTACTTTTTTCTTAGAGAAACCCAATGGAAAATTTCGAGCCCATACGGGCTGCATTTATATTTTGAATAATAAACGCCTTAATTTCCAATCCAGCTGCTTAACACCTATATGCTTCAGAACTTTTGGCAAATGGAAACAGCTGAGGCATAAAAAAAAAGCAAATAGACAGTCGCTTGATTGATTTGAGTTCGTTGTTTTCTAATTTTGGCTCCTATGCCAATTGATCGACAGCCTCGCAGACGAACGAAAATTGTTCGACGAAAATTGTTGAAATTGCAGCAAATTGATTTATGAACACCAAGCAGACATTTGAGCAACGCGAACCACAATGCGGAAGCGCCATCAAATTTTTACTTTGGGACTAGGGGCACTCACAACTGGCGGGAAAAATATAAAATTAAATAAAGAAACCATTCGACCAAGTGTGACTATTAAAAGGTACGTACGCGTATGTTGTCTGTGGCGCTTTTCATTTCCCTTCGACTGGCTTCTAGTTGCAACTAGATGTGACAAGTGCAAAAACAATGAAAACAGATTTGATTGAATAAATCTTGTCGGCAGCATTTTGGTTGGCAGCCAAAGCCTAAACTTGGGGCATTGTTACAAATGTGTTACCGTATTTTATTTGGCACTAACGGACGTGGCTAAATAAATTACGTTTAATTAGTGGGCTATGGTCAAAGCGCTGACAGTGCAGCTTAACTCGCGATATAGCAATTAAGTATCGAATATATCGAGACACCCTGACCATATTTCACTTTCGCAATTTTCTAGTTAAATTAAACATTAGGAGCTTTGTGTGCTGTAGAGACAGCTAAGTTTGTCTATCTTTTGGCAAAGAGTTTAACGCATGGTGCTGCAGCATCAAGTGTAATCTGAGGCAAATAGATATTCGAATAGACAGCAGCATTCGCTTAAACATTTTTCGCTATTCTTAGCCAAACAAAATTGGGTCAGCAAACGATGCGGTTGGCCAACTCGCAGCCACGAGCCAAACATTTTCCCATCATCGAGATTGAAGGAGATGCAGGGGGAAAATCTGCCAGGCGCCTTCAACTTTTTTCGCACAAACATATAAATAAATGTATACTTATGTTTACACATATAAAAATACCGAATTAATTGATTCTGAGTGTTTACCGCACGATTTCGGTTCGTTTTTTGCCGCTACGCATGCAAAATCTCTTGTTAAACGAATTTTAATGCAAAATCAATTTTATGACTTCAAATGACATCATCGCTGGAGGGGAAAAAGAAGGGGAAAGTAGGTGGTTGTTCTGCGATTCAATATCCTTGCGGCACAGCAGCATCCTTTTGTGGATAATCCCTTTGAAACACCCCGTTGACATCATTCGCAGTGGAGATGCTATCTTCTACATCGGGTGGCTTTTTATAACAATTCTTTATTTCAAGAGAACATATTCTCTTTTGAAGAACTGTGGATGTTAGTCAGCTCTAGATACGAAAGTTACGTCCAGATTGTGTATATATTTTGTAGAAATGCCCCATTTTTGTTCGTAGGACTTACTTCCTGCATACTGCAACACATATTGAATTTAATAAAAATATATGACGCCTGCACAGGAAAAAAAATGAAACTAAACTGGGCGTGGAAAATCCCACTCCTCAATCCGCCCTCTCACTTCGCTCCAGTTGCTCCGTTACAACTGGGATTGGGGTCACGCCCGGACGAAGTTCTCCTCGTGGAGAAACCAATTTAATAAACAACAAAATGTGCAAAAATTTACATAAATATTCTAGTTTTTTGCGGGGTTTAATTGCACACTCAACTTACTTGTCTCAGTCGCTGTCGATGTCGTGTGGGCCTGTCATATATGCAGCATTAACTGAAAGCAAATGAAATTTGATATATTTAGATCGAGTCGAGTTCAAATGCATTTCGTATAACTTAGGGTTAAATTTATTGTCTCTAATTATCCCACCAACTGGATTGACATTTCAATGTTGAGGCCAATTAAAGATATCGGGGCCTTCATTATAATCATGTGGGCTGTGCGAATTTTTCAGTAAGCATCCAGAGCCAACAACAACTGAAAACCAATTTATAAATGTCTTTGGGCTTATGATGGATTTCAGATTGTGTCTGTGAGTCGCGTGGGCCACCAAGACAAAGAACTATGCAAAATAATAAACAAATGGGTTTGGCAAAGCGAACCGCAGTGCTTAATACACTTCAGAGATATTAGGTCTTGTGGGTAAGTATCTTGAACATCCCATAATACACCTGACAAATCACATAAGACGCATATAACATTTTTGTTTTGCTTTGCAGAGCAATCAAAATTTCATTTAAGGAAATATTTCCAGCGGAATTTCAGCTGAATTTACCCGCTTATTAAATGCGAAATATGGGCAAGTTCCGCACCGAAAAGAGATTGAATGCGACAGATTGCAAGAACTATTTATTGCATGTTCAATTGCAATTGCAGACAAGGTAAACAAACAAAATCGCAGACGCAAACACCTGCTTAGGTAACGTTGGCTACCACATGGCAATTACCACATCCTTTTCGCTGTCGGAATGCTCCAGCCCCCAGCTCCAAGCCCCTATTCCACCCAATCCGAATCCCCATTCGTCGCCAATTTCGCACCGGACTCCAGACCCTCGCGAGCAGTTAAAACTGCAACGAGTTGGCCAAAACTACGTACGACTGGGCATTTATTCAAAGCAACAGCCCAGGCACGAAAATGGCATTAAACTCAGTGGAGACGAAGACGATGACGATGACGCTAGACGACGACTGACGATGAATAAAACACTTTGGGGTGTACTACTACGGCCCCCAGCGGAAAATGGTGAGTATCCCCAGCCAAAACAGGCCACAGACAACTCGAAAAGGAAATGGCCAAAAAATAGAAAACCCAAACGGAAAATCACGTGGCCAACCGCACAGACGCAAAATTGGATAAATTGCAGTCGAATTAGTGAAATAGCAATGCCCTTTCAAAGGTAATTATTAAAAACGTTTATGAAATATTTATAAAAACAAATTTTGAAAACTTATAGAGAACATGTTATCATTTCAGAATTATGCATATTTTATTTATAGCTAAACAAGATTTGATACTACTGCTCAAACTTAAAAACATTAATACCCTGAAATAGTATATACCTTAAACTGTAGTTAATAGAAAATGTATGGGGGACATAATAAATCAGCAGAACGTTTATGCCTCCTTTCTGGCGGTTTTTGAAATTTTTGGCGGCTGCCGTTTTGCCGCTGCCCGCAATGAATGAAATTAAATGTTGCCAATGGGGATAGACCGAAACGTAATAAGAAAAAAGGAAAAACTGGCCAGAAATGCTAGTATGCAAACAATAACAACGGCCACATCGCAGCTCGTTTTCGTTTTGTTGTTAGCTGGTTTGGTTGGCTGGCTGGTTGGTTGGTTGGTTGGTTGGTTGGTTGGTTGGTTGGTTGCCGCAGCAGCCGTCAAAAGTTGCCAAACTTGGCCAAGTGTGCAACGGCAAGTGTTCGGTTATTCAGTTATTTTTATAGACACCGCAGCAGCAACAACAACGACCACTACAACTACAACGACAAGTGCAGCAAACTGTTGGCCAGGCTAAGGTGAAATATGATTGCAGGCTGGTTGGCCCCAAGTCTCGAGCCTTAAGGAAAATGCCGAGCCAAGTTGTTGTTGTTACTGGATTTTGGCGCTTTCACTAGTTGCGCCGGCGACTTTTCCCCACGATGCCGTTTTTGTGGCTCATACAGTTGGCCTATTACTCGGAGCTTCGGCATGGCCAATAAATGAATTTGAGCTGGTGGCCACAAAAATTCTATTCATCATGCTCGACCGCACCCGAAATTGATTTACAAATGTTGTACATATAGGAAAATTTGATGATGTTTGTTCTTTCTTTTTTCGTGAAATGGATTTGCCCATTTCGATCAAAAAAGTCAAAATGTGTTTAACAAACAATTCTTGAAATTATCACATATTTAAGAAAACCCCACAAAAAGCAATAAAATAACATATATTTTACAGCCTAATGTTTATCCACTGCAAGCATGCAGCTTACATAGTATCACTAAGCCAGAGATGTGCAGCGCTAATCCATATATTTGCATTCTACAGCTACTGTGAGTTATACTCTTCTTTTCTAGATATATAAGGTAGCTTAACCCCGTTAGAAATAAGCCAGCGGCAAGCTCTGTAGTCTATAGCGTGGTATAAAAACAAGCGAAAGCTCAACAAAACAAAGACCAATATAGACATCAAGATAAAGTATCTGCGTATCTGAAGATGACCAATCTGAGATACGGCATCGTTCAGAGCTGCCAAGATAGATAGATGACCTGACCTCAAGCCGCACTGCGATGCCATGGATACAAAAGATGGACTGCCAGCCACAATGCCGGCAGTTAATCATCGGTTATATCATTGACCTCCGGAGAGATCGAGGCTCCAGTCCTCCCCTTGCAAATTCACTACAAGAGCACTGACGCCCAGTTTCACCCCACCGCAGCATAATTAACATGTGAGTGATAAATGCAATTAGCGATTGCCTGCACTTAATTGCACTTTCATTGAGCAGAGTTCATTGCCGCATCTCGGCGCTTTTGTGTCAAATGTTGGGCCGTGTCAAACACAATATTCCATTTTCTTTTCACCGCTCACCATTGAGTATCCCATAGATGCACAAAGGCGCGGCGGAGCCAACAAACAAATGCGCCACACAAAAAATAAACAAGCACAAGAAGATGGTCACATATCCAGATGGTTGCACTGCCAATGCAGAGGGTTTGGGTCGTGTACTTTGTTTAAAAATAACAGGAAAATAAGAAAATGTATCTGCCAGCGGTGCAGTTCTGCAATCCGAAAGATACGGGCCCACCCGAAGCACACGCACACACACAGATGGTGGCGCGATGGGTCTCCGACTTTAGTGTAAACACTCCGTCTAAACAAACGCCACTCAAGGATGATGCACTGCAGCTTCTTCAAAGCGCTTCTGACCTTAATCAAGTTCCAACATCTCGCGATGGCGATGCGTTTTAGTTAAAAAGTCCAAGGACTGCATACACGCACTTATTTCAATCTTTTATCATAATATTTTCAACATACTTTGAATCTACATATAATATATACGAATTAATCAATCCCAAGGCAGATCAACGCAAAAGATATCCACAAAGCATAGCTTTCCGACTTAGCTGAGTTCAGCAGCAGTGTAAAATCAGTTGTGACGGGATCACAAGCACTTGGGGCTCTTTTCTTGGTGATATTTTAGGACCACTCACGCAGAAAGTGGACACAGAAAGGCGACGCCACGAGTGCCAAGGCCCGAGGTGGGAAATTACGATTTGCACGCACGGCGAATTTTACTCCTGGCCACCTCGATGTCACCTGTCCCTGACTTTTTTCGCTTTTTGCCATCTTATGTCTCTTTGGGCGTGCGTGAAAAGTGCGGCGGCTATTAGGAAAATGTGTCTCTCGCAAAGGCAATGCGCCTATTTTTAGTGCATTGGCTCCGCAGCCTACTCGGTCTTCACGTTGGCCATGAAAATGTTGAAAAAGTATCTGCATCTTAATCTGCTGCCGCGGTTGCAGGTGTTTCAACGAATGCATGTGCAAAGTTGCTGGCGCACAGGTGAAAGTATTTAATTATGCGTCTGCCGCATGACAAATCTGTTGGTGTTGATGAATTGCCATTGCAATGCAAAACATCCTTGGCTAAATGTCGGCCTGCCAACAGGCTGAACAAAAACAAAACCAAACAAAAAAAACGAATTTCCCAGCGCATATGGCCAGCGGATGCGAAAATGTCCGGTCAGGAAAGTGAGTGCCCAAAATTGGACTCGTCGTCGCCGGAGACGGAATCGCGTTTTCATTGAAAAAGCGAGGTGATATCGCCATGTGTGCCGACTACAGGGGCGCTGATCGCAGTTCCACAACAATGGGCAAACATTTATTGGTAATGAAAACAAACAAAGTGTCAAGTGGTCGGGATTTCGATTTCGCCCAGCCAATATGGTGTATCTCGTATTTTAGCCAGCTGCGTGTTTATTTGTTTGCCAAACGTGTTTGTTTGTCCGCTGCCGCCCCCAACTGCCACATCGGTATTAATTTGCTTGGCAATTGGCACTTGGGTGTGATGCATATTGGAGCATAAGCCAAACAGTTAGCAGATGTCTTACTTTCCACACTTCTCTGAAGAATCGGAACGTATCTGCTAGGCGCAGGTTCAAATTAGTTTTTCCTTGTCCATACTAATGTACGCTACTTTTTGCAAGGCTAAGGAATGATTTTACAATTTTAGAATTGCGACTTACATTGCTTATCTAATCACGTTTTCCTTGAAATTGTCTTTAAATCACAGCCGCACACCCGGCGTATGAGTAATATTCGTAATTCATACATATAAAACATAGCTGGGAGTTATGCGATGACAACAGAATTGAATGTGCCACTTAACGCTGGCTATTAAGTCGCTAATTTGCCCAACGATTAGGTGATTATTTACACGGTGTACTCAAAACACAGAGAACCATTAAATGTAGATAAGTTTTAATAAGAGTGTACAACGGGGCGCATGAGCAATCGAAATACCTCAAAGATGAGCTGACGAAATACAATCCAAATCGAAAGCTAAACCAACCGAGCAAAGCCATCCGTTTTAAAGTGCAATTGCAACTATTTATACAATCGATTTTATTTATAATTTAGCATTTTTTTTGATTCGATTTCTTTGTCCGCTGGCATTTTCATTGCAACAGACTCACCCGCAGCAGAAGCCGCCCGGCAATTGTTAGGCGTTTCGAGCATACTTATTCGAGGCCTGTTGTTAGACAATTTCATTTGCAGTTTGTTTTAACGC